CACCACCACCACCACCACCACCACCACCACCACCACAATGAGAGAGAAATGCGTGCTTGAACGACCCTACGGTAGGTAGGTAGGTAGGTCTAACTCCACCCACACTCGCCTCTACTTACAGGGTTAATTTTCGTGGCCGCGGAGTGGTTCAAGACCACATGCTGGGGCCCACAACAGTATAAGCGTTCTAGAATTGGTGATTTCGATCCTAGTGGCCAATCGCGCCGTGAACAACAGCCTTTGGAGACTGAAGTGGTGCAAACGCAAACTCTACTGGGTCAAGTCACCCAAACAACTACTTCCGAGAGTTTGGACCGCCTAATGGGAAAAATTCACAAACCTGGAACGCCACATGTGTTGAGCGAACGAGGGCTGTGTCAACGTATGAACGCATGCATCTCACTGCACGTCAACGGCAAAAAAAACGACATCTTGAGAAAATAATACTGACGGATGATGAAAAATTTATTTCCTACAAGATTCGCAGACATAAAGGCTCGTGGGTAGATCCAAGGTAACCTAGTACATCGACGTCGTAACGGGACATTCAACTGATGAGGGTTCTACAGCGCATTAACAGCGATTGCGCCTGAGTGAACCCTGGTTACTGACCTGACGGTGACAATGACTCACCTCCTTTTTTCATTTGTTACTGCATCAGATGCCTGTCATCTGCCGCTCACTCCCCCACGCACTAAGTCACACACTTGGCTGGCGTGACGCTAACAAACTGTCGTGTCCTCTGTCGCTTCTCTTCACTCCATTCTGGGGTCGTTACGGGCTGTTAACTAGAGGGTTGTAGGGTAGTGCTTAGACCACAAGCCACTACAGATCTCCTGTGTATCTGGTGGGACATGAAGGGTGTACTTTACTACGACCTCCTGGAAACTGGCCAGACGAACAAATAACTTGACCAGAAAAAAGGCCACGCAGGCATGTCACGATGCTATGCGACAACGCTCGACCACCTCACGTAGCTCGCGCGACTCAGAAGAGCCGCTTGAACTTGGCATGGAAAGTTCTCCCACACGTGGCCTCGTCAGAATATTCGTGACCACGAAATGGTTAACGCGAAACTTCTATACCCCCTTCAGTAAAGACGACCCTTCAAAATTTACACAACAATGTCTACTAACAATTTATAAGTAGTGCTGGTAAAATAAGAGTTGAATCACAAGGCAAATTGTTGTAATGAAAGGTAAATGCCATGTTTCGAAAAGCAAACAGAATGAGAGAAATAGAGATAAATATTGCACTTGAGTGAGATCTTTGTCTGTCAGCATGAAAGGCACAGAAGTGAAGGCACTTTGTCAGGCGGGGTCGAATGCAGACGGCGTCAGTTGGCGTCGGTAGTCGCAGACATCCGAGTTCCATTCACGTGCTGGACAAACAGCTCGCGGACGATTCGGATGCGCGCCAACTCGAAGGCCACCACCATGCGGTGAAGGTCACGGAAGAATCGGCAGTCCAAATGCTTCAGCAGGTTCTCCAGCTCACCCAATCCGTACCTCTTTAAGAGGGCCTAAAGCGATGGTGGCAAAGGCAGTGTACAAGGCAATCCGTAATCCAGATCTTGAATTGAAGCGAGTAGGGTGAAATTTATTGGAAAAAACGCAAAAGGACTTACTGAAAAACGAGCCTCGTCATTGCAGTCTGTTGTGTCGACGTAGGACTCGATTAACTGTGAGTTTCCTAAAAGCAAATAAACATAAACACTCATCCGAAAAGAATGGGTTGAAGTTTCGTCTTATTCATTCTTCGATTTGCTGAGGTCAGATAAATCGGCCAATTACGTTGCTCACATGATACCTTGACTACAAATGGCGTCGGTAGACTAACTAGCTACTGAACTGACAATAAGTAGGCTGAATATCTGTCATCCATTTTTCGGCTTGCAGGGGTCAGACAAATCAGCCAGTGACGTTGCTCACGTGAAATTCGTGATTACCAGTGGCGTCGGTTGATTAATTAACTATTGAACTGAGAACAAGTAGGATGATGTCTCGCCTTAACCATTTTTCGGCTTGCACAGGACAAATAAATCAGCCAATTACGTTGCATATGTGATTTCGTGACTACCAGCGGCTACTGAATTGAGAATAAGTAGCACTACTAAAAGTCAATTTCCGGATGCGTCAAAACTTACCAAAAGAGAGGTTGAGATTTAACTATTTAGTGTTTACGGCTGGCAAACAACGAGGGAGCAGACGGGTTGGAAAATTATTGCCAAAATTAGCCAAAAATAATTAAATTCATTTAAGTAGTATAGACAAATTCTCAGAGCGTTAAAGCGACCACCGATGCGGGAGGCTGCGAAATGTCCTACACTCGCAAAACATGAGAAAATCTTTCATAATCTCACGCCCTCAGTTAAAACCACATGACTAGTCAAGTGCCGCCATATTAGATTTTTGTTTGGCGCGAGCGGAAAGTTTGAACGAACCGACACAGCCAATCACATTGCTGGTTTGTTTTACCCACTCATGCCCTCGAAAATTGTCCACTCGCAGGCAAGGAAAAATTGTCAGAAATACATTGCAAGGAGACGTCTTCGGAGAATCAAGAACTTGGAGTGTCTGAGCCCGATTATACTCGAATAAAATCGATTTCCATTTTGCTTGTTTCCCGCACGTCACACGAACATAAGCGTTCGATCGTATCTGGAGGCCGTGATGGGTCAACGCGCGACACCTACAACCACTGTTCACACGTCCATGATGATCTAGGACGCGCCGATGTGAGGCCATCAAACACACACACACACACCAATGCACGGTCAAAAGACATAAATGATGATGATGATGGAGAGGCCGACCTTTGTCGAAATTGGAAACGGATTCCTGGAGTTTGCGCAGGTCGAAGAACCAACTCTGGTGCTCGAATTCGACATTTTTCGGATGCGTTGGAAACCAGAGGTCGGGGTGGTGGCGCTGGGTGTGCGGGATCAGAAGACTAAAAAGAGGAAACACACCACTTTCGTCGCATGAAGGTGGGAAGGGAACGAAGTAGAGAGTGGGGTGGTGGGAGGGGGTCACGTACTGTCGGTAGTAGATGCAGTTGCCACGCCGCATCTCAACACGCTCCCACCCCAGGGGAATGCGTGGCGCGATGACGGGATGCTGCCAGGTGGTGGTGCGTCGGGTTCCGACGCGCGACACGCCGCTTCCACCGTCGCCGTCGCCGGCGCACGACACGTAGAACCGTCGGCCAGACGACGAGACCCCCACCGCCCAACCCGCCGGCAGCGGGAGCGAGATATTGTTGTCCAACTCCAGCAGGTCCTACAACCAGAACAACAACCAGAGTGATTCCAGTGTGATTGTCTTGAATCCGCTCCATGTTACGACGCTCATTGTTCCCATGTAAACATGACGTTTGAATGGAAGCAGTGAATTGGTCGGTACGAGTCCTCAAAGATCGTCGTTCTCTGCGTGGTTTTAGATCCACGTCGAGGCTCCTACCTACCCTTCCACCATCTTAATCGCCGTCTGTCCAACAATTGTGCTCTGATTCAAGATCATCATCGTCATCATTGAAGACTCGATTCGGCTTTATCAACACTGGCGAAGTGTCAGGCTGGTGGAGAGACAATGGTTGAAGGTGAGTTGATCCTGGGAGAAGGACCGAGTGCTGGCCAAGGCATTTTCCGTGGCTGGGTCAAATCAACGCCAAGTTTATTTATTGACAGACACCTGGGGCACGTTGCACAATAACCAACTGACACACAATGTTCCGTCTACAAAATTTATCACCATCAACAACAACAACAACAACTCAGTCTGAGCTGAAGCATTTCTGCGGAACCACTGGGTCTCGTGCTATGTTCTCCATCAGGCCTATGAGTGCGCCAACTCTATACTGGATCGGCTGGACTGTCCTCACCTTGATCTGGGCGTAGAAGTCGACTTGGTCGGGCAGGATGAGGGCAGGGTCCTGCGGGAGCATGTCAAGTCCGCAATTCTCATCGTCGCCAGCCTGGGCAACTGCGGGTCCACCGTCGGGCGCCTTCTTCCGACCTGCTCCTCCCCACACGGGAAGGTGCAGGGACTCATCCGAGGTCTGTTGCTCGTCGTCCGAGACAACGAAGAACTCGTCGCTGTCAACATCAGCGGCAAACTGCGAGGGGGGCGGGTTGGGGGTCGGATTGGGCACAAACATTCGCATGCGGCCTTCTTGGGAGTACACCGTCGAAGGTGAAGCTAACGTTGAAAAGAAGACATATCACCAAGGATGACGCGCCACGTATTTCCATCTACGGACGAAATTGACAAACTCACGAGGAGCACGTCGTCGCGCATGGCGTCCACGGACGCCCTCTGCGAAAGGAGCCACGGCACCGGCCGAAGGCGGTATGGGCGGCAGCTGGTGCTGAGCCATGACCGCGGCAGCGGCGTTGTCGGCGGCGAAGATGGCCGCCGCGGTCGCGAAGTGATTGGCCGCAGCTCTGAGCCAGCAGGCCGCGGTGGCGTTCGGTGGTGGTGGTGGCGGAGGTGGCGGCGGCGCAGGGCAATACCTCGCCTGCGGTGGGGGCGGCGGGGCGGGCTGGTGGCAGGAGTTGATGGGCAGCGGGGGAGACCAGTACGGCGCGCTCCAGGTGGTTTCGATCTCGCAGGGGACTCCGGAGTCCTGTCTGTCACCGACGACACGAACTTCGCTGGGAGCGCGATGCTGGGCTTTACCGCTTGGCACAATTCGACCGGAGGCTTCGGGAGTGAGTGAGAGGTCAGAGTAGGGACCCGTGTCACCCGAACAGGTCGTGATGGAGATTTTGGGACGCACATCGGTGACGCTCTTGCCCCGACTCGGCGCCGCCGCCGCCACCGATGTGTCGGTGGTTGTTTCGCGTCGGCGTCGTCTGTGGTGACCACGAAGATCGTCGCCATCGGGGCCGAACTTGGTGTCGAGGTAGCGTGAGAAGTTGCGGAAGCCTGCGGGCAAGAGAGGCGGCCGAGGACGCCCGTCGGAGCTTCCTGCCTTCGATGCAACCTCCTCCTTGTGCTCGTATCTCCCGTTCCCTTCCGCATCGGCATTCTCGTCGTCTAGAAAGAGATTCATGGTGGAGGAGGCGGAGGACGGGGAGGAGGGCGCGGTGGCATTCTTTTGAAGGTACCAACTGAACGGCCGATGTTGAAGCACCGACAAGGCGTCCACGGCTGAAGACTTCGATGGAGAAGAGGAAGACTGCTGGTTCTGCTGGTGCATTGATAGCATATTGCGGACCGCGAGCAGCAAACAGTAGAGCTAAAAAAAACCAAGTTAATTTCCAGGTTATTATCGTGAGAACCAAAACAAATATCAGGGCTAGTTTATCAAACGCGAGGAGGCAGTCACGCAGTCGATGCAGAGGGTTGAAATGTAAAGGAGAAAAATCCACCAGTAGACAAAAAAGGTGCCCACGGAGAGCGCATTCCACGAGAAGAATTTTGCTGAAATCGATTAACCAGAGGATTCAGTCTGTGCGACCTTGTGTCCAACTATTTTGACCGGAAGGTGTACCTCAGAAGGGTCTCCTGTTCACAGTTTTGACAAAAACCCTTTCACAATTTCTAAATTGCATCTCCACTTGCAAAGTCCAATCTATGGCTTCGGCGTGGCATGTCTCCGTAATCGCTCCGCTCAACCGATCACCCCGAAAATGCCTGTTCCACTGAAGCTAGCAGATTACCGAAGCGTCAATTGCACTCTCCAAAGTGATATCAGAAAGCACTAGATTTGGCAGTTGGTACATTGGGAACTGGGGTGCAGCCACGTTAGCTCGCATAAATCCCGCATTCAATGAGATTACATTGTGAAATCACGATTGCCTTCGTTACAATTATCGTCACGCGCAACGCGTCGTGACGTATTGCCAAGAATGGTTATTTCTGGAATCCTACATTATTAGCGTTTTCAACCGAAAAAAGTTGTAATTTTTGATGCACGTGTAGTTCGCATTGAAGAACAATTGACGAAATCAAAGACTTCATTAGGCGCGTGGTCTAATTTAGTGATCTGGATCACGCAATTCCGACGTCGTTTAGGCAACACAATGTCGCACAGACCCATCGCGACCTCGTTCAACAGCAGAAACGCAGTAATGGAAGGTCGGTGACTTCCTCAAATGCGACTGCGCATGTGCGTCCGCAAGGTCAACTGTACTAAAACAAAACCTGCCATCCACTTAAAGTTGTCCACGCCAGAAACCTAACCATCACGTCTCGCCAACTCACAACTATGAAGAACAAGCAAATGCCGACTTCACAGCTGTCATAAGATGCAACGAGTGTGCAACACACGCCAGCACCTTCTCCGTGTGTCGGTGAAATTTCATAATTACCCGCGCACCAATGAAGTCACGGCTACACTACGAGTCAGTAAATGCATCACTTGTTTATTCGTAGTTTCTAGTGGAAATAAGGGTCGCCAAGCTACAGACACGTTGGTGGAGCGTAAACGACTGAAAGTGACCTCCTGGGTGCTTGACTCGACCCCCAGGTCGACACCACAGAATGGAGGGGAATGCCCAACCCGCGAAATCACCTTGCACGAGCTTCACGCCTGGACTGCGTGAACAACTACGCTTTTAAGCGAATCCACGAAGCCCGTAAATTGGCTGGGCGGGAGACAAGACGAAAAATGCACGCCGATGTTGCATTCTGCGTGGGTGCGCGTGTCAGGAATGCAAGGAATTCGGTGTGTGCGTGTGTGTGTGCGAGCGCGCACAGGTTAGGCAATACGATGTACGACGCGAGAGAATGTCAGGTGCGTGAGTGGGCAACAGATTGGGTGGAGGGGGAAGGGGAGACGATGGAATGTTGGGAAGAACCAAGGAAAAGGGAACACAGCCGTCCAAGGTCAGTGTGCAGTTTTCAACGAGAAGCCGAGCTAATCATCACGCACCAGTCGAATCTGTTTCGTCTCCACCTAAAGGCCTAAAACCTCGACATTCAAGTCGACGAAGAACTGGAAGCGGCGATTAAAGAGGCAAACGCAGCGAGAGTGGCCATCTCCTGTCAACGATTAGACAATACTTGAATCTAGCTGTGCAGTAATTTTGATTTCACGTCAGGGGTGTTGGCGAAACCGCACTCCAACTTTTCTCTATTAAGCATGGGCAAACTGCCACCAAGTTCCACGACTTGAGTTCCATGCGACGTCACATTTATCGACTATTGTAAACCACCTTCTCGTACTCTTTCAACAGTCAGTTACACGTCACATTTGTGTGCGTACTGAAGCACATACAATTATTCAAACAACGACCTAGTTCTGTTGGCGATTAAAAGGCTGTATCGACCTCACCGGATCGTCAATTCCCTAACCTCTAGGATTCTACAGGCATCTAAGGTGGAGTGTTTGTTGAGAAACCATGAATGAATCTAAAGTACCATGCACGGAGCGCAGACTAATAATTGGTCTAGATTGCGCGGTTGATCTCGGATTACTGGTAGATGCCGTGACGCATGTGGAACCGCGACGTGATCTCGAAGCCTTTGAAGGTCTGGCTCCACAGTCGAGCAATTCCGTATTGCTGTGGACAGACCACAGTCCGGATTGCGAAGTTACTCGCGAATTACCAGCAGAATCTGGGATGCTTTGGCAATGTGGGGCGGTTTAAGTAAAACTTATCAAAGACACGCCAAATTTTAAAGACTACGTTGTTGGGTGGGGGGTCATGGGTCATTTACACGCTTACTTAGGAGGATGAAGTAAGAGCTAAGTGGTATTTCGGAAATCATTTGAGGTCTGGTTACACATTCGAGCTATTCATTTAACAATACCCCGAGGTGCTGACACACAGAAAATCCCAACTACGATGGAGGACATTTGTAGGATAGTTGTTGCAATAATAGAGAGAAAACCGAGAGTGGAGACAGCTCCTCATTCCGGGGAGGAGGAGGTTGCTGCGAGTCTGGAAGAGGTCTCCGTGGAGACAGAGGTGTCATGGCACTGCTCGCTTCGAGTGTCCGACCTCCTTCAACGCAGAAGTCTGGAGGGGAAACCGAATTGGCGTCTATGCTCTCCATTTGCCGATATGCGCGACGGGAATGCTGCGAAACGCCCCACCGACCATCAGGCCATGCGCACGCGTGCGCGCGTCCACGGAAATGGGAGGGGGTGGGGGCGGATGTTGGGGCATGCGCGCACGCGAGGGCGTCTAGGCGTGCACAACCGCGGTGGCGGCGTCTGCACGTCTTCTTCCCCGAATTCTGTTTTTTTTTTCATTTTCAACAACAAAATAAAGGCAGTACAAAGCCAGACAGCACGCCCACACTGGCTGATTTCACTGTTTACGTGGTCATCGACGGACAAAAAGGCGAAATTGCAATGTCGGCCAGGCAGCAGTAGATGCACGCCGGAGTATTAACGAAACGTCGACTTGCAACACCACGGCAAGTGTCACTTCAAGCTGAGGACACTACATCGTAAGTGTACCAGGTGCTTGTGGTGTGACAGTGCGACACGAACTAAGGTTTGGGTAGTGGTGATGGTGCATCAACCGATGACCCAAATTTAATTAAGACGACGATGCGCACGTCCTCACCTTCAAGGTTGGATTAACCGAGGCGCAGCAAAACCGGAAAGACGAGGCGCGCAAGCCCTTTGGCCCACGAAAAGCTTTAAAATGCCACTACGGTCTGCGCGTCTTGCGTGGGCGTTTTTATGCCGAAGCTAGCAAAGTTTGCGTGGGTGTCGAATTTGCGACAAGCACTAGTCAGGACCTACGTAGACGGACGCCTCTTAGAGTCCCTCCATCGAAGATGCGAACTTGGAGTGCTTGAAGCTCTGTGGCGTCGAAGCGGTCTGAGGAAAAATACAACCGAAATGAGCACTGAAGCTAAGGTTTGAAGTAGGGAAGTCCAGTCTCCAACAGAATCTTGCAGTTAACCCTCTCAAACTTCAAATGGCATATCCTGTGCTGAGAAGAGTTTGGAGGCGGTGTTGAACGAAAATTGGTAGGACAAAGAATCTGCGACAGAGGGGAATGAGAGCATGTTGTGAGAACGACTTTGGTGACATCGAAATGAACTCCAGGACACAAAGCACATGCAATTCGGTGTCTTTTTACAAGGTTTCGAGAATGAAAACAGAGGTGGAAGACTTTCCACACATGAATCGATTTCTTCTGTGCCAACAAAGGAGCATATTGTGCGGGACCGCGATTTAGTGAAACTTCAATGACACTAAAACCAGCACGAATCGTTCACAGCGAAGATTCCACTGTACGCTGAGTAGGGAATGCATTTAACACGTTGTACGCACAGAGAGAAAAATCGACATCGAAGCGTCGGGCCTCATCATCAAAAGCAGGAATCAGAGGAAAAACACCAGTGCTTTGGCTGGACAATCGTGGTGATCGGTGTGGATGGAGACAACGTACCTCGTCCCTGTCGAAGTCCTGCAATGACGATGAGAGTCCACAGCTGCCGCCATAGCAGGAGGACGCCGAGGAGAGGGAGTAGGGATCAGCTTCGCCGCCGCCACCACCACCGGGCGCACCTTCAACATAGTGTGAGTAGGGGTAGCGCGGAGGAGGCGGTGGGTAGAGGAGGAGGGGTGGGGGCAGGGGTTGAAGCTGGAAGGGCGCGGCAGAGGCCACCAGGGGGTAATGGACGGCGGAAGCGGCCGACGTGGGTGACGCTGCGAGCAAACGACGACCCGGAGATGCGATCCAGGGCTGGTGTGATTGTCGTCCAGAATCACTTTTCGCTCTTGCGGCTAGAGCTGAAAAAATGGAAGATTTGAGCCAAGAGGCCTCCCTTTTAGAAGCGAGCAGGGTGTGTGTGCTTACGGGGTCTGGAGGGCATGGCGTCCAGCAACTGTTGAAGGCGGCTCTCTAAATACTGGAGATGCTCCACTGACATATTCTCCATGCGATGTGGTTTGGACTTTGGAGTCTTTGCTGGTTGATTGCCCGCCGGTGGAAGAACATGACATGAATTTGGGAAGGATACAGATTGAGGAAGCGCACCAGTCGTCTCTCTTCGATTTGGAATAGCAGTGTTTGGGATTCGATCAGGTCGAATGAAGTCTGGAAAGCAAGGGATAACCATGAGCACTTCAGCACTTCTAACACAAAGACAAAAAAGTGGGTTGTGCAAGTTATAAAAAACTGAAGCAGTATTTCTAACATTCTTTTCGTACTCCTAGGAGTAGGTAAAAAAGCAACATCAAGTTCTGTCAAATAGCTCGTTCTAATTGGAGATAAACAAAAAAGGAAGCAATAGCAACAAAAACAAAGAAGGCAGAGAGGTAACAAAACGTCATCCTTATGCCGGGATGCACCAGGGTAGTGTTGTACTTACAAACGACAGAGTATAGTGTTTAAAAAATTCTTAGGTTTTAACGTCCAAGAAAATTTTTTTCATAAACCTCTTAAGAACAGCGAAAGCCAGGTCCCTAAATTTTGATTCGTTATACAAAAAAGACCATGATTTTGTTGCTTTTAATCACAGTCTTTAGGATTTTCACGTAAATTAAGCGCGTGCGAAAGCAGGAAATTATGAAGTGACCAATTTCTTATTAAGTTATTTCTCATCGCTTCAGTCCTCAACATACAAATCAGGTTTAGACAAGATACTTTCGTGGACATAGATGATTGGGCTTAGTAGAATATGACCAAAATAATCGGAAACATACGTGCACTCCGATGAAGCTGGTGATACTCCTGGCTGTTCTCGGGCTGGTTTCCACGAACGGGAGTAGTGGGCTGGCTGGCGGGATAGCGCCTTCTCTGGGCCTCATCACCGGACACGAGCTGATGATGGGCAGCAAAAAAGGGTTTGACAACGGTTGATGGACGTGCACGGCCCAATGGGGAAGCAGTGAACGTCGGACACTTTGGCGGGTGGGAGGATGGCGAGTGCTTGTCGCTGGTGCGTCGTCCAAATAAAGCGAGTTTAGAAGGGCGCGCAGCAACCGAACTCGAACTGGCCTTGTTCGGAAACAGATGCGAATCCTGACCAGACATTGCTACTGCGTGTGGCTACATTGTGGAGCTAAAGTATGGATAGTTGTTGAGGTAGCCAAGCCATACGCGGGAGAATTTCAGTTTCATCACAAAAAAATTATCTGAAAGGACTAAATACACTAAGCTGGCGCATTTTAATTAATTATGTTGCAATTTAACAATTGAGTGTATGATGTCTGAGAAAAGGACTGACAAGTAGAGAAGTAAGGCATTTAAGAAAATTGACTGATTTGAGCATATAAACACATGTAGATAACATAATTTGAGCGTAAATAACATACAAAGGAAGGCACGTTTGAAAGCTTCGTTGATATTTCTAAACAATATTTTATGACAGATCAGGATATTAAATTTAGGAGACTGTCCGACGCTACACAGCCCCCGTCCACGACCAAGGAGCACGTCTAAAACGCACAGTTTGTTTGAAACTTAAAGGAGACAAAGACGAATAAAATAGCAGCGCATATTACTAGCATAAAAGCGCTACCGTAGGCTGAGGTAAGTAAGTAAGAAAAGCTAAAATTGTTATTACTAAAACATAAAAACACGAAAATTATGGCAGAAACAAACAATTAGAGACGCAGCCCATCCAAATCAAAAACGCGCGATGAAGAGAGCACGATGAAACGGGCCAATTTCAGCAACTTTTGCCTTTGAATTCCACAACTTGTTTGATAGCCCTTAATACTTTGTACATTTTAGCGTTCGTTAAAAGCTGCTTGAGATTAAAACAGCAGTCGTTTGGGGTTTGAGAGATAATTTATGAAATATTTTTCGTTATCAGGCATGTTCGCTAAGCTCATTACTTTGCTAGCATATGACGCTAGTTAACTAGCATTCTATATTCAATTATTGTTAACATACATGTAAATAAAATTTGTTTTGAATATTGTCATTAATCACACGAATTCTTTGTGCAGTTTGCACTATGTGTTTTATACTATAACTCGGATTCACATGAGTAATCTAGAAATCTATTGTTCATAATGTGCCATTTACGCAGAGTTTCTGCTTGTGATTGTTGCGTACTGTTATGTTCAATGAAAATTTAAACTATCAAAATCGGCACTGGCAACAAATTTGTTATGGCCAGCTGTTCACCATGCATTTTTGCTAATTCTTAGACATTTCATTGCAACTAGAAAACTTGTTTTTGTCTATTAACTCTTTAATTTTTTTCTACAGAAATATTGTTTGTGCTAAAAGAAAACATGGGTTCCATAATCCCTTTAAAATATTTAAATAATGGACATCCATTTAGAGACAATTGTTAATTCTTATAGTATAGCTAGCCAGGCTTCATAATCACAAAGCCACAAGTAGTCATTTTGCTTTTTTTACTTTCAATACAATTAATGGACCACCATGAACATAAGGTTCTTCACTTCACTCTGTTTTAGACTATTACGTAAGTAATACCTGACTTCATTTAGTTTTCAACGTACGCTAGTAAATGACTACTGACTAATTTACTACCAATATTCAGTGACAGGTCTTGTTGAGGTCCCCGGCATGTTGCCTTGAATCACACCGCGCCACTGCGTCAATTTAGGCCGATTATCTACCTTGAGTATCCGCTAAGGTGAAAAAGATCAGAGAGGACAGGGCACAACCATTTACAGGACAACTCAACGAAGTTGTGTTCTGTTGACTGATACACTTGAGTGGACTAGTAAAAATATAGTTGTGTGAATGGTCCTGTGGATAAAGCGGGTAATGGTGGTGCTTTCAGACAAGTGACTGACGGGCAGGCCGTGAAAAGTTGGACTAGAGTGAGGCTTCGACGATCGGGTTAATAAACGTTAGTCAACACGATTCAATACTGGCTAAATAAATAATTTTCCTACAATTTTTATTCAGGATTTTTTGCTTACAGACTGATAACTAGCATTTCACAATAACTTCACGAGTTTTGCAGCATAATAGCCAGCAGTCTTAATAATTGCTTCTTTTTAAATTTACAACAGTTTGATCCGGAGATGCGTCATTTATTTCAATAATAACAGAAGCTAGGAAGATACAGTATTTCGATAACATTATTATGCAGTCAAAATCGCTTTCAAAAACGATTTTTTGGTCTGCAAATTTATGAACATGCATAGGATTTTAAGGCGGACTTCATGCAGTGGCATGGCAGACGTACGCAATGTACTAATTTACACAACTATTAATATCGACCCTTGCATTGACCAAAAGTATATGCACGCTTGTCATAGATGACGGCTGTGAGAGTCTGATTACAATTAAAAGCTACTTGATTAGTTAAAAATTAACTATTATTCCAATGTCGGAGCAATTTATGCTTACCTGGTTGATTTTATATAACAAATAACACTTGCCATAAATTTGCTGTTGTCTTTAAAGTTAAACATGGTATGAGAGCTTATACACTCTGAATATAATAGATTTCTCTCAATGTAATTTAAGGCTTGATTAATTGCTTGCTTATTATTGGATCAGCCTGATCTGTCGGAAGTGTTACCTAATGTGTGAAAACAAATGTCCATTGGAATAAATTAGAACAAATATAATTATATATTCTTGATAAAGTGATTTAGATCTTTAAATGTGTAACTTTTGACGCAATGTAAGTGTTAATACAAAAAGGCAAACCCAGCCAATTAAATAATCGACTCAACAGCCTGTCCAATTACATATACGAAGGTTTTGGTGCGAGTTGATTCCTTGCGTTTTACACGGAAATGTCGTGTCCCTTCTTTTTTGTCTCACGGCAACCTAAAGATGGGTGTTCTCAAGTTCAGGTACAAACCGATTTACACGAAAGGTGCGTTACATTTAAACTTTACTACGGATAACTTAGTTTAAAGAATATATCAGACCAAATAAAAAAAGATGGCGTTTACGTACCGGAGGTTTTGAGGCCTTTGCTGCGTTGTACCATCGTTGAAACGGTTGTTGGACCTACACATATAGCTTTTCGACTTCAAGTAATCATTTATCCACTAAATTGCATAAAAAAATCTAGGATGGACGTGTTTGCCGGGTCTCTTATTCACTTCGCGCGGACAAACTGGCAAGCAATAATGACAAAAGGTAAACCTACTTTTCGTTTCAAGACTTCTTTAGACGAGGTCGTTCTTCTGATTCAAGATCTGAATCTTTATACAACCGGGATGCTAACTCTGGATCGATTCGTGTTCCTGGAGCTTCTGTAGCACTTCGGACTTTACGCACACCCATGAGTGTTTTGGGAAGGAGTGCCAGGTCCCTTAGTCTTTTTCGAGAAATGCAGCGGCAGGGAATATACTTAGCGCGGCCACTAAGCTCACAAATACCCGCTTCTGACGTTCCAGAGAACCTCATTGAACAATGCCAAACAGTTCTGCAGGTAAGTCAATGGCTTCATTTAGGGCCATTTTTTTATTTGCTTGCTTTATAACGTTTCACTTAAATAGGGGAAATCTAGACAATTGATTATCAGAGAACTTCAACGAACTAATTTGGATGTTAATATGGCAGTTAATAATTTGCTCTCACGGGATGACGAAGCGGACCTTGGGGCGTCATCTGGTACAGTTAGTATTGGTGAAGATTGGGAGGACGAAGCCGAAGATCTGTTTTCCCTGTTTGAGCATCCGGAGCGCCACCTGCTCTTGGACGGTGAATCCGGTTTTACTGATGACCTCATTGATCGACCTTCGTCGCCTAGGTTTCGCAGGGAACTTTCTATCGACTACGGTAAACACTTATATTCCATTTCATCACATACGATAGATCGGAGTCTCGGGGATCACGCCGCCTACACCGATCGGAGAAAGCGTCGAAGACTCGATACCCACGCTTATTTGCGAAACTCTGAAGCATACAGTGGTCGGTCTGCTGAGTCGCGTCGATTTTGGCGCAGTGTAGGACTCCCTTCTGATGACAAGGTAATCGGTTTATCCTTCTTCCATTTTAAAATTTGCACCTAGGGCATCCGTCAAGACGAAGACGCTTTTGAAACCACAAATACCGGAAAGAATAACGAAAATAATGTTCAACTTGGTGACAACCTGGAATTTTGGCCCACAAATTCAGCCGAATCGGTTGGTTGCCACTTTGTCAGCATCGCTGCTCTGTATACTGAACTGGTAGCCGTAAACAGTCAAGGCGAGCTTCACCAATGGAAGTGGCAGAGTTCTGAACCTTTTAATCCTCATGTATGTGTTTTTATTGATTCCGCTTCCCGAATCATTGCCTTCCATTTCTGACAACTGCTCCTGATTTGTAAATTTTACATTTTCTTGTGTTTGCCCCTTGGTCTTCTTTACTCTCGCAGGGTTATCAATAGAGTCAATTTAGCGGTAACATTAAAAACCCTTATGCATGTCACTTTTTAATCATTTCTCGTCCACTTTACAGAGTAGCAATTCTCCACCTTTCAACTTAATGGACCAATCAGAGTCGGGAGCAGCGCTCGTGAATCATCGCCACCCCCGTGCATCGAGCTTGGGAATCGCGCATGAAAAGGTAGTTTCTCTCTCGGGTTGTATCACCCGCGCGTCGATTATGACAGCCACCGGGGCAATCGCGTCATGGATGGACGAGGTATTGCCTTGTCTCCTCCAGTCGGCTGCCTCTGCACCTGCCGCCGCCGCTGCTGCCACCTCCGCTCTCATGCGCCTTGAACACCCGGCAATGCACTTTGGCGAGTTGAAGGCGGAGACTGTCACTCGTGTCCTCACCGCACCCCTAATTACTGTGGTGCAATGCGCCTCTGGGGCAGTTTTCTGGTGGGGCGTTCTCCCCTCGTACATCCGGCAACGCAACGCCGAGAAACAAAAGCACCCCATCTCGCCTGTCACGAGTACTTCAACTGCGGCAAACACAAGTATCACCTCCACTACCCGTCACCGAGTCACGAGTAGTGGGTCTGATGTTGGCTCGAAGACCACCTCCACTACCGCCACCGCCGCCACATTTTCCCTCGGTCCTGGCGACCTAGTCTGCATGAAAAATGCTCCTGTTTTCCATGCCGGTGCGATAGGCTTTACTCTGGTGAACGGCGTACCGAAGGTGGGTGTGCTGCTGGAAGACGCGTGGAAGCTCACAGACGTGTGCCGTTTCCGTGTGAAGTCGCCATCTGCAATCGGCAGTGGCACGACAAAAAATCCACTCCAGTCCGCGACAATTACCATTGCAACGCCTTCCGAAGCCGTCCACGCTCTCACTTGTCCCTATGCTCAGGCAGCAGCAGCGGCTCAGGCTGCTGCCCAAACCGAGCCTGATCCCCCTCCCGTGGACTCAGGGGCTCTTGAGATGCCTCCCCCACCGTCACCTGCTTCTTCCACGTGCTCTGACCAATCAGGCCCCGTCAAAGTCAGTCCTGGTACATTCAGTAAGTGTCCCAGCCACATCAAATCAAAGGTTAAATTACCGATGGGGTTAGTGGTAGTTGAAAAGTAGCTAACTCACTATGAAGTAGTGTCGAGAGTTTTAGAGCAAAGAAAACTGCCATACCCCTTCGTATTATAGGAGTCAATTTCAGTCACATGGTAATAGCTTCGGGGTTTTTCGATTATACCAGTGAATGTTCCAACTCGTACTGAGATTTCGAGCTAGTTATAGACTTTTCCCACTTTTCTAAGGAACGAAATCAAGTTTCATCGTGGGGTTTTTTCCTACTTTCACCCTTTAATGTAATTTAGAGCGAAAGAAAGCACCAAGTACATCAAGTGATGGTGGTGGCGGCGGGGGCAGTGCTAGTGCTGCCTCGAGCGTTAGCCGTCGCCAAGTGGAATCTGACCAGTGCACAAAGTCGCAGAAGCAGACTTCGAAGGCGTCGCACCACGACGAAGAGATCGAGGACTGGTGTTTGAACGAGGTCGTCTTCGTAGAGGACGGCAGAACTCAACCAGTTGGCGTGCTGCTTAAGGTCGATGGTGCGATTGCGGCGGTCAAATTTCTCAAGGAGCAGGACCGCGCCTGTCTTGCTGCGCGTTGCCCTGCTGCTCCTGTCTGCCTTTTCATCAACCAGATCACAAAAAGTACCGGCCAGAAGTCATCAACAAGTTCGGCTAGTCTCCCATTGACTCCGCATGATCCCATGTCCTGGCTGAACGTGAGTAAACGTCCGGCCAAGTGATATGCTAGATAAGTCTAGGGGCGGTGTGGCAAACTTTTAACGCCTACCAATGTCCTTCGATTGTAGGATTGTCGCCTTTTGAAGAAGGACGATTTGATGCTGGTGAAACAACCGATCGGTGGAGGATTGCCTCAGCGTGTTCCCGATTTCGTTCAACACAGTCCGCGTAATGTGCCATTCTCGTTCCTCGGCAACTCAACAGCCGCTGCCAAGCAGAACCACGAGACCTCGAACGTCGCTGCGCCGCGAAAGCGCATAATTGCCTTGGCCCCGGAGAATTGTCGACTACACGCAATCGTGGATCGGATGCTGGCGTCTGAGGGTGGTCAGCTACGCGGCCTGGAGTACCACGTCTTCACACTGAATGGAAAAACAGTTTCTTCGCGGCGTCTGCCTGCTCTCTCAAAGGCCCCACCTAGTGACGGTGATAGCTCTTTCTACTCCCATCTAACACTCACCTGCCCTGCCGAGGTTTGTCTCTCTTTCCATTGAACGACGAGGGGGAAAGGCTTGAGACTGGAGATTGTGCATCTTGTGATTCGGGCGTTCTTTGGTCACTTTCGCGTTTTAAACCCTTACTACTCTGTCCTGGTAATTGTTAGCATGTAGGTGCAAATATCCCTCGAATGTACATGGTTTTTAATCTTCCCCCTGGATGCTAAGTCATCAGTGAGCCGCTAATCGCTAATTGGCGATCGATAGATTGGGCAAATCGTTTCGTTCCAGGACACAGAATTGCTTGTCTTCCAACCAAACTCCATTTTTTACTGCTGCTCTTTAATTTTCAGCGTCCTCTCTTGGTGCGGGACTCCAATGGTGTGGTTTTTCCCTTCCTTCCACCCTCCCGTCCAGGTCAGGAGTCCTGGGTGTTTCCGTCGTGGCTGGGCCTGCCTCCGGTGCAGTGCGCCGCGCTCGCCTGGATCAGTCCGCCCGCGCGCCACGCCTCCGTTCCACTTCGCGCGCAACGCGACGGCGACGCACCTGCACCGCCTGCCGTGTCACGACCTGACAAAAACTCCGTCTCCGCCTCGTCTTCCGCCAGACAACCACATCCGGGCCCTCGGATACTTCTTGGAGTTGTTGTGATCGCGGAAACTAGTCTCCTCCAGCACATCCTTCGTGCCGATGAGACCAAAGTCGAGGAAACAGTAAGGAAATGGAGGAGATTCTTCGATTGTTTAAAATACTCTCTTTGACTGTCAAGTGTCTGCCAAGTTCTTGTGGTGCTTTCCAGGGTATCCTTTTATGCAAAAATTCCAACAATGATCTGTCGGATACTTAAAAAAACAAGGCCTCAATTTCGAGACACGAGTACTTCGTTCCTGTGCGTTTGAAAATATTGTAGTTGTTCCCACATCTCTGGATTTTTCCGTTAATTCATCACGATGAATCTGATTGGATTTGCCCCTTAGCCAATGAGAGCAGTGTATTTTCGGCTCCGAACGCACGGGAAATTTGCACAATGTACCGTGAGCCACATTAGGGCTTTCCAGTTAACGATCAAAATCAGATATTTCCCGACCATATTAACATAGGTAATTATTACATTCTTGATCTCAGTTTTCTTTTCCACCTTCTGATTTTCAGCTACGGTCATTGAACGGAGCTCCGCCTGATCGCGCACAGGTGGTGCTAAGCGAAATGGCCGATGGACACCGGTCAGTTCTTCACATGGCCGTGCTAATGTGCGCTCCAACGAGCCGCGAAACTCCGGAGTTGGCTCAGCGCCTGGAAGGCATCCTCAAACAGGACTCTGCTTCCTCGTCATCCGCCGCCGCTGATGGCAGCGGATGGACCACCATAGCTCCGTCATCACCTCCGCCTCCGCCTCCTCCTAGATCGCTTCATTCCCTCCTCAATCTGTGAGTTAATGTCGGTTTTTAAAGTTGGTTTCGTCGAACACAGTGCCATTTAACCTTCTTTTGCGACTCCACCGAAATTTATTGTGGACGTCCATGACCCATCGATAAGCACTTTACCTGACGATCTCCTTTTTCAGGAGCGCCACTAGTGGCTCCAGATCAGCTGCGGCCGGTGGTGTCTCCTCGGGTCTAACAGTTCATGATCTATTCATCCGCTCACCCCTTGAAGCAGCCGGCGCAGCAGCTTCCACAGCTCCCACCATTCCCGCGGGTGGCGCATCGGACGCCGCACCGCCGTCCTTAGGTGGCGGCAGCGGTCATTTCTGTCATTTGCCGCCTCTCAGCGGTACCACCGACGAGGTGTCCCGCCGTCTCGCCTCCCACCGCATCCTCCGTGCCCTCTTGCTTCACCCGCGTCTGCGTCCCTTCATGTCGCGGCTTCTCGCCGGCCTCTCGGACGACGGATTGACGCCCTTCATGCTAGCTGTCCAATGCAAAGCCTACCAGGTGGCCAATTTCCTTCTCGACTACCTCTGCGTAAGTGGTCTCCATGGCAATCGCATTCGCTGAGTCGTCAATTAGTTACCTGATGCACCGTGTGCTCATTTCAACGGCATGTTTTTAGCTAGCCTCTAGTCCCTCTTTATCATTTTTGCTGTGAATGCTTCATCACAGACAAGGCTTCTTCACATCTGCGAATTTGAAAACACAAATTCGCGCTCCGAATTGACTAGCCAGTCAAGTTATGAGGCTACGTCATGCTCGTCGCGGCCAAATGAATTTTTCCTGCAAACAATACTTGAATTTAATTGGTAGAGGTATTGCATTGCGTAGACAGGTAAAGGTGTTTTCTAAATGAGTAATGGGATGCCTCCCTCTGTATGTGACTTTTTTGCTACGCAGCTGTTGCTTGGAACCCACAAGTGCTACATGTTGATGTCTGGGGTGCGCGTCCTAACTCAACACACGCAGACTGTTTTACGGCCATTTTTCGACACCTGGCACTTACAGTTTGTCCTTAGTGACATCCTTGTTTACATTTCTGGTCGTGCCTTCTAAAACACGACCGTCAAGAAACTGGATGCTTCTTTAAAATGAAATTGAACCGTGTGCAATGTTTGATCTGCTCCCGCCTACAGTTCGCTTCCTTAGTGTCACGATTGATAAGTACGCTTGGCAAATAGCGCTGTTCTCCACCGACACCTCGTGTCAGCTTTTTGCCGACCTGCTTGGTATGAAGTGATACGCATGTATCATTTTTCGCCTTTCTTTGTACCACTTTTTTATCTGCTTTGCGGAGCATGCTCTCCTAAAACCCCTAATGTGTAATTTGTTGTGAATGTGTCCTGTGGGTTTTTACTAAGGCGATTTGACACTCATTGCGGCTTCAGAGCCAGTGATCTCTTTTTAACGCACTTCTCACCTAGGACTTGGAGGGAATACGTTGCGATGGAAGCGAGGAGGTCAACCACCAGTTTCGTTACTCTCGTCTCATGCCTTACATCTACCCTCCCTCTGCTCGCCTCGACGACTCACCGCTCTTCACCCTCTGCTACAACGACAACTGTAGCTTCACGTGGACCGGTCCGAACCACATCCGCCAGGACATCTTCGAGTGCCGCACCTGCGGTCTCATGGACTCCCTTTGCTGCTGTTCGGAGTGCGCAAGGGTCTGTCACAAGGGCCACGACTGCCGCCTGAAGCGCACCTCACCCACCGCCTACTGCGATTGCTGGGAGAAGTGCCGTTGTCGCAGTCTCGTGTTGGGTCACCAGGCTTCTCGTCTGAGCCTCTTCCAGAGACTCCTCCTCTTCACCGACCTCGTCTACCTTCCCAACAGGTCTAATGAACACTTGATGGTGTACTTGACACGTTGTGTTGAGAGGCAGACGCGGGAGCAGAAGCAGTACAAGTCTTCTCGCAGGCGTGGTGGAGGCGGCGAAAGAGTGAGCCTTGCATCGAATTTGGCCTCACGCGTCGCCCTAGCAACCGGCGAGGCTGCCTCGTCTTTGACCCGAGGTGGCGGCGGTGGTGGTGGAAATGTGACCTCATTGGACGAACCTGAGCACGATTTGGAACCGCCAACATTTTCAAGGGATGCGCTAGAGCTGGTGTTGGATTCCAGACCCGCAGCGGCTAGTTTGTTGTGTGATAGCAAGAGCACCTTCGCATCGGAGCCATTCACAAGATTTGCCGATAGGAAGGGCAAGTCTGCAGGATATGTAAGTAACGCGGAAAGTTTTCATCCAATCGCCTCGCATCAGTGCTGTCTGCTGTAAATTAGTGAAGTCTCTTTAGACGTTCCCAAATGCATCTAAATGCAGTCTATTTGTAGTGCGAAGCTCCTGGCTATACGTGAATTTTACTTTTTGTCGGTAAAATGCCTCAACTTATTATTGTGAGGTTCTGTTAAATGGAAATAGTAGATCAAGAAGGTGATGGGACTTCAACAATTCTATAATCGAAAATGACCTCAACGCTTATTGTTATTGGGGTAGTTTGCGTGGTTGAAACGCCGTTCTTTGATTTTTTTTACATTCCAGTCTGTAATGGCGATTCAATCGGGCACGTCTCAGCTCGACGACTTCGTCTTCACCCTGCTTTGCAAATGCCCGCCCGAGTTCCTCGTGCGTCTGGTCAACACCCTGGCGTGCAGTCTCTCCGACCACCTGATGGCCGATCGGGGCCTGAAGCGTCTTCTTGCCCTCTGTTTGCACGACGGCCCCGTCGACAACACCGACGCATACTTCTACTGCCAACGTGGTGTGGCTCGGTTCATCCGGTCTGTCGCCCGCGTCTACACCAGTCTTGTTCTTGAACTCACTCCAGACCACTACAAAAGGAAGTCGTAAGTGTTCGCTGTGTCTTGCGCTAAATTCCACCCTCCTCAGTGCTACCAAAGTTGCTGTCCCTTCGCATCATTTCAGCAAATCTCTTCCCCATTAATTATTGGTTTCTTAATATGGTTGTAAGGTATTGCAGAATTGCCGTTTACTACGTTGAATGTTGGTTCCTTAGCTAGCAGTGCTAACGCTGATTCACTACTTCACGTTCATAGGCGACTGACGTCGCAGGTGCAGCCCCTGGAGTTGTCGCGCTTTGTCTTCTTCCACCTCGCTCCAGTCGCGCTGCCCGAGCTCACCCGGCTGGCCGTCAACGTCCTCGCTCCTGTGCGCACCGGCGCGCTCCGCTCCACCGCCCTCTTCAACCTCACCTCCCAGCAAAGCGAAGCTATCCACGTAGGGTCCTTTTGTGGTTCACTTTGCCGACCTCCCTGTACTCCCTTACCTCCCCCACCTCTTCCTTCTTAGGGCTTCGATCAAGTGCTTGCTGCCGAGAGGACCTCCTCTTTGCGTCGCCAAACTCTAACTTCTGCAAGCGCTGCTTCGGCGAATAATTCTGTCTCCGGGGGCGGGGGAGGCTGTTTTGACTGCCCGAATTCCGTGGTACGGCGTCTCATGTATGGCTGCGATTCGGCGGGTTCAGGCACACTGCTGCCAAGTTGGTGTGTTCTGGAACAACAAACCTCCGCGTCCAGGCACCCAAAGCCCCCTGAAGGTGACAAGTTGAGTTCCACTTCGGATATTGCCGCTTTTACCCTGGATGAACCGATGGTAAGCGACGTCTGCGTTTTGGAGTCTATGTGACTTCCGGGGTTTTGGTGAAGAAATGCAATTCCCTTTATTTCAAAAGTTCGTATTCTCATTACTTATCGATTGCATCATCTGTTTCTCGATGGTAGGATATCGATAGTGCCAGCCAGGATCCGGCCCCGCGCGTCACAGACCTTCCTAGACGTCGCCGTCGTCACAGCCAAGGTAGTGGCAGTGGAGGCGGGAATCGTCAGAGCCCGTCACCCAAACGCCGCCGCCGCCGTCGTCGCCGAAATCGACGTAATCACGGAAACAGTGATCAATCACCTTCCCATCAGCCGGCGCCTCAGGCGACCCCCGTCATTGTCGTTGAACAATCTGCAACCACCACTTCAACCGCTTCGTCTGACCCTTTTGCCGAGATGCAGATCCTGTCCACAGCTGGCGGTGACTCGGACACTGACGCAGACGTCCGAAGCAATGAGTTGGACAGCAATACTACCACTGTTGCGGCTGCATCCAATCAGACGGCGGAGGAGGAAGAAGAGTATAGTGGTACTGAGTCGGAAGAAGAGGGCGATTCTGATGTTGGTACGCACTCCGTCGCCAGTAGCGGTGGCGGCAGAACGTTGCTTCTTCGTCAACCCCCACAAATTGAGGCTTCTGGATCGCAGCACAGCTCCGTGAGCAGCACGGCGGCTACTGCCGGCACTGCCGGAAGCATTATAATGGATATGGAGAGTTCTCTCGTTGCAAGTACCTCTGGCAATGCAAACACTTCGCAACAGGAGTTTATCACTACTTATCCACCAGAGCAGTCTCTTCCTGGTGAACAGCAATCGGTAACCGCGGAGAACACCGCACTGGATGATGACACGATGGTTGCTACAATGTTCTGCGCCAGCGATGATGAAGAAGAGGCGGAAGTGGGGGAAAATGACGAAAACGACCTTGATGAAACTCTGCCCATCTCGGAGCTTGGTTTGGAAGAGGAGATTGATCGTGGTAGCCGTCTTCACCCTCAGAATGAGGAAGATGACGTCAGCGACGAGGATGAGGAGGAGATTGATGATGATGAAGATGTTGGAGTAGAGGAAGAAGAAGACTCAGAAGATGACGGTGGCGATTCAGAGGATGACGAAGAGGAAGATGAAGACGAGGAGGAGGACGATGAAGATGAAACGGAAGAAGAGGAAGAGGACGAAAGAGAAAGACAAGAGGAGAAAGACGACGAAGAAGAGGATGAACCCTATTCCCCGGAGAGCGAGCCTGTATGCATTGATTGTCGCTGCCTTGCCTATCGTCCATCTTTTTTACTTCTTAGTTTTTGTGTCTTCCATCATTAGAGCCCTCCTCCATCTCCGCCGTCGTCACCATGGACACGTCTTCCTGTGAGTTCGTCGGCAACCCCAGCGACGGTATCGACTGATGATGTGACACCACAAACGACGACAACGGCGGCGACGGCAACCACCTCAACGGCGCCCCCCGTTGCGAGGGGTTTCTCGGCCTCCGCGTCTACCTCCACGCTGGCTGGAATCGCTCACCTCTACGCCGCGGCACTCTCCTCTTCTTCCGAGAGACGCGGTAATGTCTTTCATGATTGTTTTGCGCCGGTTACAGCCCACCACAATCGCTCGGTCGTGGCCCCAGTTGCGAATCTGACAACAATCAACTGTCCCTGCTACTCGTTCACTAGTTTAACGTACACACACACAATCCTCAAAAGGTGTTACCGCTAATTTATGACAAACTTCCTCCCCTTTCCTTAATCAGGCTCCGGGCGCAATTCGACGCTGCCTTCGCGATACGCCTTGGCTGGAATGAACCTGCTGAGTGCCCCCCTCTCGCCACCGCGCTCCACGTCTGGCAACACAAACAACAGCTCCACCAACGCCGCGGCCACAACCACGACCAACGCCATCAGCGGCGTCACTCCGGCAACTGGTAGCGCGCCTGTCCCCACCACCACGGAAACCACTGGCGGAGCTACCGAGGGGTCTGACGGGAAGAAGGTTAGTTCCCCCCTCCTATTCCTCATCGCCTGGTTACCTCGTTTATACCCGTGATTTGACAGTTGGATTGTCTTAGCAACGAATAGCACTCGAACGGTGGAATTGATGGGAGCATCCACAGTTAATCACTCCGGCGATTTCCTTTTCCTCCTTTAGTGTGGAATCCACGTGACACAGGTCCATCTGAGCCGGGCGTTCGCCTGCCTCCTGCGTCTGATTGCTGACGTCATGGTGGACCTCGTTCACCAGGGTGGTGACATCGAAAATGGCTGCAGCATTTCCGCCTCGCTGGCGCCTGGCGACCTGCGTCGCTGCTTCTCCGCTCCTGTTCTGCTCAACTCCGCCTTGGTGACACCTCTGAACCGTCAGCTGAACGCCATCAACCGCACTGGCCAGTTCATCACCCCGTTTCCGCCCACCATGGCCGCGCGGATCCCCGATACGGTGGAGCAGGCGACCGTCTGTGCCGCCGCGGGCTTCATCCTTGCCCCCATCTGGGCCTGGCTCGTCGGTGCTCTCGACAGTCTGGAGGCGCGTCTTCGTTGCCGGGCACGCTGGACGTCAAAACACGCAGCTACTAAGCCCAGTAGTTCCACACCCACCGACTCGACTGGTACGTCTTTCCCGCGAATCCCCTCTTGTCGAATTTGCTGTCTTGTTTGCCCCTCAAAACTGCGTAACTATCCTCGATTCTTGACTTTGCACTTCTTTACCAACATTTTCTTTCCATTTTAGCATCGTCTCTGCCGGGTCGTCGTAAGGACGCAAAATCTGACCGCGTGAGTTTGTTGTTTGTACCAGTGTGTGTTCACTTACCACGAGTGTAGTATTTTGGCCGGGTTCAGCTCCATGGGCTTATTCCTTTTGTTGAAGCGTCACGTGAGTTTTTCAGGGAGACAGTTCAGGCACAACTTATCGAAAGCTGCCCCCCCCATATAGTCCTGTTCCTTTGCACCTACTCGATGTTGATTAACAAACCTCCCAACGGCTGTTCTCGTTGGTGTGTGTGGACCGTAGTAATCGTGGTTTACCCTCTCTCGACACGAGTAGACCGACATACAAATAAACTTCACACTTGTAATTAAGTGTCTATTTGCACAAGCATGTTGAGTATTGTGTTATTTGACCGTTGACATCCTTTGTCATTTTCGATCAGACTGGAACTGCCAGCGGATCGGGGTTCCAGCAATCACCCTTAGAGGGTAATGAATCAGCTCCAGCAGGCGGCAGCGGCAGTAACTCCTCCAACCGACAGCACCTCCTTGCCTACCTGCTTTCGGTGATGCGCACCGCAACCAACGACCACGGCGACGCCATTCCCCCGGTCGACGTGGCCAGCCACAAACACACCGCTTACCTCATCGACGCCTTCTTGTACTTCTTTAAGGTCTCGTCTGTGCAATTTGCTATCCTTGTGCTCGAGTTTATCAGTTTGTCAAATTTAAACGTCAGCGTTGCACCAAGCGGTCAAAGTCGATCACTGTTAGCCATATTACTTCGTAGATATTTTCTGCAATTTTATTCATTTCCATGAGAAGGCTTTTAAACGTAGCTCGTTGTTCGGTCTTTGAAGGTATTCGAAAGCACCTGGCCTGCTGGTCTCGTGCACCACCTGATCCACCTACGCGATGGCAGTGAAGAGGACGACGACGAGGTGGGGGAGGAGGCGGAGCGTGAGGTGCATCGGTCGCCCAGACTCTTCCACGGTCGTCCATTGGCCGGACGCAATGACGCCTACTTTCGTCGATCGGCCAGCACCCTGTCACTAGCCGGCGCCGGGCTAGACCCCGTTCTCTCTCCTGTTGCAGACGCGTTACCGCTGGCTGTGGCCCCGCACCAACTGCAACCCAACTCCCGTCGTTCTGAGCTGTTCGGCATCACCAGGTTCCGATTTGTTCATCTTATAAATGCAACACCACGCACTTGATCATGACATCGTCCTCTTTCCTGCAGAGATATCCACTCCGATGTTTTCGACCTGCTGCCATCTCGACCTCACGAAAAAGACGGTGGCCACAACGACGAGGCGAGTAGTGGCAAGGCTGTGCACTACAGCCGAATCGGGAAACTCTTCAAGGACTCGAGCATCGGTCGTCAGAGTAGGTTTCGTTTACGTGGAAGCGGGTGTGGGTTGGGTCAGCTCTTACTCCGTCTGATCTATCTACGTCGAAGTTCGTGGACACTATCGTTTTAAAATCGCTTCAGTTTTATGGATACTAATTACTAGTTCATTGAGGCCCGAGATCGGATCATCATCTATAGGCCAAATCTTCAACAAATACACATTGATTAGCGCTCGCTGGTAATGATGGAGGGCTAGCTACGGGAGCCTTTTCCATGCGCAACTATTTCTGTGCCACTCGTAACTAGGCACCAGCTGCATTGTGTCCGTTTACCTTGTCGAGGTATGCGACTTTTACTATCTACCAAATCGAAATTGTTTGCTTGCAGTTGGTCCCATGCTTCAGTTGTCGCCTGCTCCAATGCGTGCTCTGGAATTCGATTTCGTGTTTCAAGAACTGCTTTTTGTTATTAGCATTTCAACATCACATTTGTAATTGTCTATTTTCTACAATGATGTGTGTGTGTTGAGTATTGTATTGTTTAACCGAAGATCGCTCTCTTCCGCTCTCTAATAGTTGTCTGGGGCGGAGAGTTCCTCGACGTGTGCGGTCACGCCGGTTTGGTGTTGTCGCGTTGGTGTACTGCTCTCGACGCCTTCACCCGTGCCTTCCCCGAGGACGTCGGTGCCGAGCATCGCAGCTACATGGTCGAGTTGGCTCGCTTTCCAGAAAAGGAGGCGCGCTTCCGCAAGGAGATGGAACGCCTCCGCAATGCTTCACGACGTGATCTCACCCTTGAGGTAGCTCTCACTCCTCATGGTTGTCCTATGTGGTCTTGTCTGCGCCTTGTCAAGATGGCGATAGTCGATGTCTCGTCCATTGAACGTTATTGGTTTTCTTGTCTCCTAGATACTGACAGTGTCTCCCGTGCCACCTTCCTACTCTTGTCAACTGATCGCATTCTACATTCATGTTGTCGCACGTGACTTTGCATGGGCATTTTGAGATACGCAAACGCCTGTTCTTGGATGTCACTGTAGGAATACTGACCCATCTGGTTCCGAACCTCTTTAATGCAAAATCACGGCAAAACTTGTTCTCTTTTACCACGACTTACTTTTTTATTCTGGTCATAACTCATGTTTAAATTTTACACGCCAATGCAGTTCATTTTCTCGTCACGCTACCACCTTGCTGTCATCTACATTTTTACTTTTGACATTTAGGTGGAACGCGAACCAAATGCTCTCCTCATATCTACAGTGCGTCAATTGAATGCCGAGTTTAGTCATCGATTTAATATGTCCCCAGCAACGCCGTTCTTCGTAACGAAAGGAGCACCTAACCAAAGCGCAGCCAGATCCATGCGTGCCTCCATGGGTCCGTCGACGTCGTCCGCGGCGTCTTCGCAGCCGCCGAACCTCTCACCAGGCGGAGCGGCCATCCTTGCCTGCCACCGGTTGAAGGTCACCTTCAAGGACGAGCCGGGCGAGGGATCTGGAGTTGCGCGGTCGTTTATCACCGCCTTCTCCGAGGCGGTCCTCACCAATCTCCCTCTGCCTGACCTCTCTCCCCTCATGATCTCCGTCCCCACATCGTGCGTGACCTCCTCCAGTGCTGGTAAGACCTGCCAAGCCCCAAATCTTTTAACTGCGTTGTCATGATGGCTTGAATGCTAACTGTAGTCCTAGTTGAAAAGGCTGAACCCGTCGTTGTTGATTTTACTTGCGCAGATGATGTCATGCCACCGTCATCTTTGGCCGGTGACTACCATATGGCAGCGACGTCACGTTTGCTAATACGTCTCGGTTTGCCGCAAACGCTCCCTTCTACCCCACCCTCTACCACTACCTCCACCACAACCACTGCCGCCGCCGCCTCATCTTCCAGTCGACCGCTTCTGCCCCGTCGAAGTGATTCCTCCATCACAGTCTCGCGTGCACTCTTCCGCACACCCGTCACCACCTCCTCCATTTCCTTCAACCTCTCCACTCCGACCGCTCCACCCGCCAGTGTTGAAGGCGAGGCCCCAGTGGCGTTGCCATCTTCTGACGTCGACGCGTCGGACATTGCACCTGAGCTTCGGGGTAATGCCGCTTCCAGTGATGGCAATGCCGCTGGCACGCCCGCGTCGAATGTACCGAGGTGAGTTTTCATTGTTACACCAATCGTCAATGAAGAAATCGCAATAGCCTTTATCAGTTTTATCGCTTCTTGTTAATGCCGCTGAATCTGAGATTCCTCATTTTGATTATCGTTAGAAATCCGCGGGGTTTAGTTACACGGAGTCGCTACGAAACCCTTCAAAAGAAGCATCATGAGACAAACATCAGAAACGAGGCCGGCTGAACCGTGGTGACGGCTTTGAATTTCCGCTATAGTTACAACAAGAACTTGGCATCGTGTAAAACTCGAATCTTGTAGAGTGAATAGTTGTTCGGCGGACGATTTCTCTCGCCTAAGCGTGAAGACGATGTGTAGGGTTTCAACCCAAACGGTTCTTGACGGAACCGGTGAGAGCGATTCTGCACAGCAGTCGTCTCCGTGTCCTATCCGTGTTTCAGTTATTTCATGTGTTCCCTTCTATTGCAGCTTCGAGGGCACCAAAGTTCCTGAAAACAGCAACAGCGTCGCCGGCAGCAACAGCAGCAGCGGTGGTGGCGGGAGTGAGTCGGCCGAGCGGGCGCCCCTCTTCTGGCAGCCCGGATTGGCTGGCTTCTATTCGCCTCGTGCCGTCAGCTGTGCCGTGCCTCGCGACTCCCCGGAACTCTACTGCCGACTCTCCATTTACCGGTACGTTTTGTCACACTGCCATCTGAGAGCATGCCAGTCACGTCTGATGACCAATCAGAGAGTGGCAAATGTCTCCTCCAATAGGATTCCTCCACGATCAATCGGTTCAATTAATCTCCATTAGACCAACTTCTTGTCTAGCATGGATTACTTTTTGCAATTTGTCATGACCACTGCCTCGGTTTCTGTTTGCAGCTGTGTTGGACGCGTGATCGGTCTGTGTCTCCTCTTCAACGAGACCTGCCCTTTGCGCTTCAATCGTCACGTTCTCAAGTACATTCTGGGTCGTCCTCTGTGTTGGCACGACTTTGCGTTCTACAACACCACCGTCTACGAGGGCCTAAGGCAACTCCTCCTCTACACCACCTCAACGCGACCTGATGGGGTAAATTTAACCTCTACGAATGGAGAAGGGCCTTTCTTGTCATCTAACCCTTCACCGTTATTTTATCCTAGGAGTCAGATTCCATTCGTGACTACAACCTGACCTTTTCATTGATGATGGCTCCCGAGGAGGGGGGTAGTAGTGGTGCCTCGGGACCCCAACAACACCCATTGGCTCCAGGTGGCGAGGAAATCGATGTCGATTCTGAGAAAATCTACGAGTTCGTCAAACGCTACACCGAATTCAAGATGTGGGAGGTGATCAAGGAGCCGCTGGAGGTAAGTTCAGCATTAAATTATACTCACATGTCGTCGCCATTAAATCTTAATGTCTCAATACACATGAATCATGTTCTTCTGAGGTGGCAGTGGTTCAGTGTTTGAAATGTACGCATATGCACGCAACTCATTAATTTCATTATCAGTAAGTGAGATGTCTTATTTATTCCATACCTTTTCAGCAACTGCGTCTTGGTGTCTTCGATATGTTGCCGACGAACGCACTGGACGGCCTGACTGCGGAAGATCTGCGACTCCTTCTAAACGGAATCTGGGACGTCGACGTGGACTTGTTGGTGAGCTACACAACCTTCCTGGACGAATCTGGATGCAGCAGCAGTAGTGGTGTTGCAGGCGATGGACAACCGTCCGGAACTGATGGCGCTGACCCTGCGTCGTCGCCCACAGCAACCGAACGAGTTGCCCGCCTGAAACGGTGGTTCTGGCACGTCGTTCGCGGCATGGACACGCGCCAGCGACAGGATCTGGTAAGCGTTATTTCCTACATTGTGTTCTGCATCGCCTTGTTAGAATCTAAACTGGCTGCCTCAACCGCGTCTCCCTCTTCCAGCTCTACTTTTGGACGTCGTCGCCGGCACTGCCAGCTAGCGCTCAGGGCTTCGCTCCGATGCCGACTATAATGATTCGTCCGGCCGATGACCAGCACCTGCCCACGGCCAACACGTGTATCTCGCGTCTCTACCTGCCTCTCTACTCCTCGAAGCAGGTTCTCCGCGAGAAACTGCTTCAAGCCATCGAGACACGTAGCTTCGGTTTCGTCTGATCAAACTTCTCCACCCGTGTAATTACAACCATTGTGCATCAATTATTGACTCATTGACTTGTCTTTGCTTTCGTTCTGTGAGGTTGGGCGAGGCCGTGATTTGAGAGTGTCACCAGCTTTACCTTCCTTTATTGCTTGTGTTGAAGTCGGCGACTTCCTAATTCGTGTTTTCCATCCGGAGGTTCTGGATTTAAGCTGTGCTGCGCTGAGGCACAAGTCCGTTACCTCGACTGAATCTCTAATTTTCCTAAATTTGGGACTGTTAACGAAAAAAGCAAACGGTTGGTGTTTTATTATTCATTCCACGATGTAAGAAGCTGCTATTCTCTTGTTTTTGAATCAGCCAATCACACCACTCTTGGTTATCCTCGCTGTTTCCATTGGTTGGTTCCCGACAGGGTAAGGTTTTTAATTGGTTGTCATACGGGACTTGTTCGCTTGCTCTGGTCGACGCGTCTAGCAAACTATCCACACTCTGCATTTTCACTCAAACGATCAAGACGGTCGGGAAACTAACTCATCGCCAACACTGTGTCAAAGAGGTTTGTGTCCGCTTCATCCGTGGATATGTTTGTCCCAGTGCGAATGAATGAGATCGCTAAGTACAAATTGGTTGCTGGCCGAATTTCGGAAATTGTGTCGAGTGTGTTATCCATACAAGGCGGAGGTAAATTGACTGAGGCAGAATCACAAAACTGAGCGTTTTGTCTTCAAACTGAATTAACATCTGCTTCGATTTGTCCAGTAAAGGGATGCGACGACCTTGCGCGACCTTGAGAGCCTATTTGCTGATTGGGTGAGAGCTAAGTGCGCAAAACAGCGCGCACGGATGTTTTGCATAAAAACCGGTCTAACTTTGGCTTTCTCACATGGATATTTAGGCCTAAAATGGTGATTAAAATTCTGACATCAAAACATTCATAAACCGGGATTTTTCTGCTCCTAGTTGCTCACTTTGTCGAGGCACTTAAGTCACGTTTTTAATTATCGCAGGCCGCTCAGCAGTCTGAAGGAGGCCGTTTTCCGCTTCATTAAAAGACCGAGTTCGCAAATGCACCACGCCCAATTCTGTTTCCCCCTAATGGCCTTGACAGTCAATAAAGGAACAAATTGAGAGGCTAGCGGACCAATAGGATGAGAGCGGTCAATTTGAAAATCCAGAAATGCGTGTTTAGTCAAAAACATTAGAAATGAATTCGACCTACAAGATAACACTGTTTTGTAAATCTAGCAGGGAATTTAACAGAATGCTCAATGAATTAAACATTCTGTCAGCAATGGAGCATCACAGAATGGCTGTTAATTGACTTCTTTCTAGTGGTTAAGGTTGTGGAAATGACATTGACGACCAAGTTGGATGTTAGGCATTTCACCGTCTTGGCGGTATAAGGGATGTTGGTCCAAATTCAAACGAGGTTTCTTCGGCCATTACCACTACTACTACTACTTTTCCACACGGTTGTGCCAATTTTAGTAATATAAACCAGGTTGGATTTCTATCCAGAGCCTTCAAGTACTCTAGATTTAGTGGTGTACATCAACATTCTTGAAACCTAGATGGGCTCCAGATGTTCAAATATGCTATACCGAGGATAGTTTTGTTAAAATAGAAGCCGTTGCTGAGCAACTAGTTGTAATAAACTTCATTAATTGAAACCTAGAAATGTTGGCCCTTGCGGCAAACTTGGATGTCAGGAGAGAACCAATTGCTATTGGCCTAACAAGGGCACATGTTTCCTTGGTGTGTGTGACTGCATGATCTTTTCACAAATCGTGGAATAATTTTCCAAAATCGCGAATCTTTGCGTGTCCAACTGGGAACTACGTGCGCTGCATATGATGTAATACGGTCATTTAGTCCTGCAACCACGTAACACGTCCATTACAATTTTTCCACATGTGGACTTAAACACCAGCAAAAGTATGTGTCCGTCGAAAATTTGGTATCTTGCAGCCTTAGATGCAATCGCAGACCACGAAAACATTCTTTGGGGTGTTGGTTGATATCCTACATAAACAAAAACAGAGTTTACGAGTTGGGTTACAAACTTGGTGGAAATGAATGTGACTATCAACTTTGTGATAAATACAAAACAATGGCACTTAAGATGATCAACACGAGTCCCAGGTTTGTGTCGTTGGCTAATATGTTCATCAGCCAATAAATCGATTGTTACCCAAAGTTTAGATCGTCCAATGGGATTCGAGCATCGGACTAATGACTTTCAGATAACATTTTGAGCTTGAAAATGCACATGGTAATTCTTCAAGCCGTCTTTATGTTATAAAACAAAAGTTTAAAACGACAAACCGTGGGTGACCCTTAAGTTCTACTAAATTAAAAACATCTGCATCTGTTAAGGATTTCGTGATAGTATCATTAGATCAAAATTTATCGAGGAAATCAGCATTTTTTTCTGTCAGAAGTTTGCTAACGAACATGCTAACGATGATAATTGCACAATTTGCAAGTTTGATAATGGTTCAGAGAATTTTCCAAAATGCTCCTAACCTGCAGAGCCACATTCTGCTAGTTTATGTAGTATTTTGAACAAATATTTGTTTTTAAGGGTCATCTAGACTGACCAGAAGTCATCGAATTTGTCCACGGTTTCTACATTATGCTAATCTGGGCTTCGGAAATGAAAGGCGTCGAAATTCACCTTAAACAATTTTAGTAAAATGCTTGAAGTCCACGTCGGAGCATGACTCGAGCTGGGTCATCCTCATGGCGTCAGGTCTTGGGGCAGAGGTCAGATGTCACAGCAAATCAAATGAACACATTTTGAGCAACAGTTTCTGCCAAAAACACCTAGTTATTCACCTGTTTGATGCTTTCTGTTGGCGTTCACTGTGTCCCAATTCCGATTGTGCTGGAATTTGTTTTCTTCTTTAACTACAAATATTTCAGGGCTAAACCGGTATTGATACGCAAACAAAACCAGATCTATGCATCGTTAGCACTTTCAGTTTTGTTGCCTAATCATTGATTAACCTGCATTAGTTACGGGTTCATTTTTATAGAAAAAAATCATGAAATCTGACATTGCCTTCAATAATGCCAACATTGGATTATTATTTGAATGAGTTGTGAAAGAAAGCCATTTGTAGCTTCATGCAAATTAGGGTTAGTTTCAACCCAGGTCAGGATCTGCGTTGTCTTGGAAAGCATAGGCACAATCGCCCTCGGTTGCACAGATTTAGTCCAATCAAGTATCGATCGCCCATAATGGCAAATAAAACTGCTCCAAATATCGGCAGCAGAATGACTTTATAAAATTTTTATCAAAATTCAGTAGGCTTTGAGGTCAAGGTTGGTTTGGGTGATTTATTTAAGTTAGTAAAATTAACATATTTACAGCATTCGGTGTCGAATGCCCGAAACCTAAAACAGAGCAGGTTTTATTGACCAATCACAAGCCAGAACCACACATCAGGCGCCTTCCATCCGAGTCCATCACGCTGGCTGCGCCGCTCATTATAGACTGTTTCTCATACGTGTTTGTCACTGGTTGGCTACATATCTTCCCCGCATGCCATTGGATCGCAGAGAGGCACGAGATTGTCTGAAGCCAGGCGGTCCAATATGTTCGCGCCCCAATCCGACGCCACTACACCAACACCACTGTATTTTTCGCGTCAAGGCCAAACTTTTTCCCAATTGGTCGTGGCTGTTAGTAAACACCAGAATACTTGCGAGAACTCCAAGCATGAAATGCACTATACTCCCAACTTTAAAACCTCTGCCTCCATCCCATTGGCTCGCCCATACTCATATTTCATTGGCTACCACGGTCACCAAAGGCCCATACAACTAGACTCCCGACACATTTGGTTCCTCGAGTTACCAAAATTGTCATCACACACAAGAAATAATTTTTATTGAAAGAATTCGAATGACAGAAAGGAAGCCAAATCGCGGTGCACAAACCACTAGAATACGTTTGTTTAAAATCGTCCCCACGGGCCAACCATGAAAGCACAGAAAATAGGGATAGCACAAGTATCCAAGGCAAATAAAAGTGATTTGGGGCAGTGGTAATTAATCAGTTTGGAAACGGAAGGCGCCATCGGAGGAGGCAGGGGCGGCGGCGGCGGTGGCATTTCGGGAGGTCACAGTGGTCCACTTTTTGGCCAGCCAATGACGAGGGTTGTACAGGGAGGCGGCGTTTGACGCCTTCAACTCCTCCAGCTCTGCTGCTGCACGCACCAGCTGGTGGTTCAACTCCTGGCTCATGCACTGCTCATCCACCAAGTGCACTTTACTCTGCGCCAACTCCAGTTCCAACTCCTTCACCTATGTTGGCGAAGAACGAGTAGAGAGCGGAGCCAACTAAAGTGTCAGACGGTACAAACACGCATTACGGACCCTGGCGCTACGCCCCAGAGAAAACATACCCGCCTGGCCAGAAACGCGACCTGGTCCTCGAGAGGGGATAAGCCCGATGGTACGGAAGAGTCGGCGTTGTTCGCGTCGGCGACAAGATTGAAGGTGTTGGTGCTCCAGCCGGGCGCTTTGGCGTCCAGCGTGCGACGACAGTCGCCGGAGCAGGACAGAACCGCGTCAATGAAGGTCTGGGGGAGTCCGCTACTGGCGCTGTCGGCCTCCTTCTCCACGCGCTTGGAGAGGTTCGAGGTGATTGTTTTGTACTCCTCAATGATTGATTGCTGCTGCTGGTGCTCCAGCTGATGACGCTCTAGCGTCTGTCGAAACATCTCTTTCACCTTAGTGTGGAGAAGAGAAACACACTGGAAGAAACCCTTTCCACGTAGACACAAAAGTTCAGCCAATGAGGCGATTCGATTGCCTCAACAAATGAAAGCGAAATGCGAATTCCGGTCTCATGAACAGACTCCCACGTTATGCTTGAATTAACCAGTTACACAAAGAAAATCACCTTTGCTGTGTCATTTTCTAACAACTTGCACTCCTCCTCCTTTTCCACGAGTTCGCGTTGGGAGTTGAAGAGTTCAATTTTCAGGGTTTCAACCATGTCGTCCAGCTATAAGGCAAGAAAAGTGCACATTAGAACTTAATCGGGCAGGCGATGAAGAGAATGCCTAGGAGGCTGACACCACAGACGCCAGCGAACCAATCCTACGACACATTTCAAGCAAAGCAAGTGAAGGGTTTGCGGGGAGAAAGACGGCGATTAAACGCCGCGACTAACCTTATCGATGTCCCTCTGCATGCCAGCTTTGCTGGTGAGTACCTTCTCGGCGAGCATCTCGTTCTCCTTCTCCAGACGTGAGCACTGCTCACGCAGCTCCCAGACTTCGCGCTGGAGAGCCCGCAGTGGAGACGTGCTGTCGGCTTCCTCCATCTTCGTCCGCTCCCAGTCCTTGGCGAAACGAATCAGCTTCGTCGCTGAAACCTACAATGTGGAGTGCGAGTTGGTCTGCCAGACGAATAGGCCTTATCAGCAGACAACTCGAGACCTTGAAGGCATGACCACACGAGGGATCGTTAAAAGGTGTAGACCCCTTCGTTTTGTGCTTCAGATGTGCCATCTTCTCTTCAGAACTGTGTTGGATGTGTTTTAAAGGCACATTCTTTGTACTGCAGCAACCTTGACGCTGTAAATCTTGAACGAAGTGCTGACGTCGCGTCGGTGTAAGTGATCAATCCAACCTAGATTCTCATTAAGGGAACTGCAACAAGACCACACACGTGGACAAAAGTATCGACGCTGCAGAATTGCGGTCAACTTCCTTGAGCAGCACAGGTGCTGTTCAACAGAAGTGATTTGCGTTCTGACAACGTCTAGAGCTTGGCTGAGAGGTTTCAACACTTATCCTACAGTCCGGATTCTGTTTCATCGAATTCAAAGCCAATCCCGCGGCGTGACATTCAATAATGAGGAAAATTTACAAGAAATCGAGACTTGATCAGCAGAGTCAAGTGATAAATGTTCAAAAAACAGATGGGTCGGTGGGAGGAAGCTTTTAACGTAGTTTGACTTACATTAGGTTTCTGTTACGATTCACACAAACTTTTCAGACGATCCCGTTCTTGCAAAACAAGCCGTGGAATAGACGATGGAGCGTGACAACACAAAATTAGCATCACTTAAATAAGAATCTTAGAAACGTGGGTCTGGCCTATTTTGTTTAAATACTAGTACAACAGCTGCTAAGTAACCGGCGCGTCCGTTAAGTGCAATCAACCAACAGCAACAAACCTTGGCAGTGGAGGCGGTGAAGATGAGCTGGTCACAGGCCTCGCGAGAGCGGAAACGCTTGGGCAAGGTGACCCGGAAGAACTTCAAGGTGCCTTCGAAGTCCAGACCAAGGAGGTCACGGCGAGAGACCTTCAGGAGGGAGATCATCACCTTGAAGATGAACAGCAGGCCCTAGAAGGAGGAAGCGCGTCAGGTCACGTGACTCTCAATACCTTGGCAAACCAACTCCTCCTACACAACAGAGCCAGCAAGTGTCGCAGCACATTTTTCGAAGACACCAAGTCCCCTAATCGTCATCTCAGCAGCTTGTGACTTTCCTGTCCTAGATGGCTCGCATAATGCCGCTTTTGAACCTGTACACCTGTCGGGGAGAGCAGAGTTTGCTACGATACCAGATAACGTGTGCAAGACGCCTTCAGAATTCACAAGGTATGGAAATGTGAGATTGTGAGGAAGCAAACCCCTGCAGACAAGATTCGACACAAACGTCTTGGCTGACAGTCCGCCACAGGTGTTAATCAGCGATTGCGGCTGGCGTGAGCACTCATAAACGCTACCTCGCCTCGAATTGCCGCGGCGGTGTAGCAGAGTTGGGTTATTGAAGTTTCCGCGATCTCGAGCTAAACGCTGACAAATGACGTGGACTTACGTCGCAGAGGAAGATGTCCAAGATGCGGAAGACGAGGTTGATGGGGAATTTGGTCATAAAGAGGGTCAGGAACCACTGGCTCGCGTACATGTGCGCCTTGATGCCGAGGTCGTTGAAGGCCTTTGCGACGTCGGGCAGTTGGTCCTGAAGTAAGGAGAGTTTACTGCTAGAGGTGATTCAAAGCAAGGCGCTAATACGGGAGGACGTGTGGCGTACCGCAAGAAGGCATTCGAACTGGTGCAGACACCGGAAGAGGCCCTCGCAGTTCTGCATAAACAGGAGTCGAGTGCCGTAGTTGGACATTATCTTCACCAGCAAGCAGAAGGCTTGTTTTTCAGGCAGCTGAAGAAACAAACGAAACAAAACCAGTGCGAGATCAAACAGAAGCGAACGCAGCGAAGAGCGAAAAATGAACAGCACGAGTGGCTCACGTGAAGAAGCAATGCAGCAGCGATGAAGGAGATGCCCTGGCAGTAACCAACATCCTCGTCGTAGAGCGCGTAGGCCCGGGTGATTTGGAAGAGGATCTCCTGGCCCTGCCGATCGCGGAAGAAATCGTGTGCTGGAAATGTGCGCGGCAGGTCCCGTTGGATGTCGGTGTCGAATCGGCAGGGCTGAAACAGACAGAGATACACTTGACATGCATGGTGTGGCCAACGTCCCTTGAGGGCGTTAATCAAACAACAGACAGGTAACGACATGCTTGGACGGTTTGAGGGCACCTAACCACGCCAAATGAACAGCGGAAACAGTAGGATGGCAAAAGCTGCATTTATTGGAGAGGGCTATTGAAGTTGGCGATCAAGCCAAAGTAACGATCGAAGAGTGGTTAAATAGAAAAGAGATTGTTAAATTTTTCACAGGAAAAAGCGATTGAAAGTCGTTAAGAAGCCTGACAGTTGGGTTCCACACGAATTCATGGTCAAGGTGTGATGAGTCAGAAATCAGATTTGCAACACGCGGTCAAATTGACTGTTTACTGGGATCACGAAGTGACGAGTGATTGTATCTACTCCCGAGTAACCAAACAATCAATTTGATGAACATGGAATGGCAAATAGGGCAAGAAAATGGTGGCAGGACAACAGAAAAGGCTAGTTACACCTGAAATCAAAGCTACGAAACACCTCCCGAACGAGGAATTCATCACCTCGGAGGGAATTTTGTTAGACGGGTGGGAGTAGAGTTGGAAGACCAACCTTAGTAAGGAGGATACGATACACCTCGATGAGACCAGGGTCGGCGGCGGGGTGTCCGGCAAGCATTTGCCAGGTCTCCGCACGCAGCACGTCTGGAATGCCGCGTCGGACGAGCTGGCGGATGCGTTTGGCCAGGGGGCCGGCCTCGACGCCGGCGCCGCCGCAGAGCAGCGCGTCGTCGGCCGAGGGTGGCGGCGGGAGGGAGGCGGAGGCGGCGGTGGGCGGGGCCGCGTTGAGGCGCGTCTGCCACTCAGCCATGAGGGCGCCCCACGCCACCACCAGCTGGTCGTCCGTCACGTCGTTGATCACGACCCCGTTGCCGCTCATCAGCGGTTCATCGTCATCTTCGGGATTGCATGTGCCGTTCGGCATTTCCTCGTTATCGGCTTTGGAATCTACACGAGGAAGAGGCGGCAAGTTTACACCGTGGGCGAAGTACGATACAGCAAATCAGAAATCAATAACTACAAGTTCGATTACCAGGGCAGCCGTGATTGATTGGTGAGTTGGAGGGGGTCGGGTGCTGGGGCACAGCGCCTTCGGTGACACCGGTGGTTGAGGAATTGAGGGTTCGCATCACGTCAGAGAAGGGGGAACTCAAGTTTAGCACAGACAGACGATTCATGAAAATCCAGCCCTTGTTCTCATCTACAACCTGGCAAAAATGGCTATAATTAGAGAACTACTCACTTCAAACGAGGTTGTTAAATTATGAGATGTGTACAAAGCATGGTATTATAGGATGCCAAGGCATCTGGAGCTAGCTGTAAAGGCCTTTTAGCGGCTGCTACCACGCCCTAATGACCTCAATGGCAAGCACTCCGAGCTAGGAATATTATTGGTTGGTTAGACGACCAACCAGAACACAGTCACCAATAGAGGCTGAAGCACCACCAGCCTACAAGTCTACAACTCGTGTATTTCCACATTGCTATTATAAACAGAACTTTCATGAAGAAAAAAATGGTCTTATTCAACGCAAAGCAAACAAAAAGCCCGTTTTTAAAAGCGGTTCGTTGATTTCACCAGCTTCACCTCAAAGTCCAACACGAGTCTTGAAACAAAGAAATTTAAACAAAACATGACTATAAAGTAGTGGAAAAACAACTGACATGAACAAGCGAAAGTGCGTCAGATGGTACAGTTTCGTCAAAAAAGACACTGGGATGATCAAGTCATCGAAAAAAGTTTTTCAGGAAAGTCCGGATTGCTTGGCGTCTGCTTGAATCGGCTCCAGAGGCCAAATCAATCAAAATTCTGTAGATCACACCACCACTACTCAATCGACGATTGCGGCAACGCACACCCACTCACACAACACCACATTTGTGGGCAGCAAATCGACACATTCCGGCAACTGACCTCCCACTGCTTATAGAGCAGTTGCATTCATGCGTTTGTTTGTCTCGCTGGAATTACCCACCTCTCAGCCAAATTTGGCCTGACTTCAAGGGATCCTTCTTGTAAGCTTGAGACCAGCACGACAATAAAATCGACATTAAACACGAGTCCGATTGTGTGCCGACTCAAAAAGGTGGTGGTCACCCATAATCACCCAATTAACGATGCATCAGCGGGCCTTTGAGTAAAAGCATCTCCAGATGGGTCCAGATCATTCTGACTGGCGTCGCTAACTCACCACCACGTTCCACTGATCTGCCTTCACATGCATACTCCTTGAACGCACCAACATACGCACGCACACTACCACACACCATGTACACGTCAACCTCGTCACAGCGTCTTCTCACCACATCCCCTGCTCTCTAATTCTGTGTTCATCGCACACCGAATCGCTTGACCATCTAACACTACAAGGAGAGTGGGTGTGAATGGTGTAGAGATGTGGGGAGAGACGCACCTCAGTGAGTTGGATGTTGACGTCTTCGGTGCAGGGGCGACGGTCAGGCGGCAGCCAGAAGTTCTCCTCCTGACGAAACACCTTCGCCCGACACACGCAGCTCAGCGCGATAGGCTCCGTCAGCATCTCCAACGCCAAGTGACACATCACCGTGAAGAACACGAAACGGTCTGCAAGGCGGATTAAAGGAGAATGCGGTCTTTTCAATTGGCCAAAATAAACTTAGACACGATGGTGTGCAGGAGGTGAGCGACTTGCCTCGATCAGTGACGGTGTTGAGGAGTTCGAACTGCGGCTCCTTCGGTGACCAGGCGGTTTTCACAACAAACGAGGTGCCGGGGATGAGGTTGTTGGCGTCGTCTGTCGAAAGTTTCGCTGGACTCGTCAACAAAGCTGGTTCAAGGGCCGAGGCCCAAACATGCACATCAGATGTGGTACCCTTATCTATCGATTTTTTCCTGATTCGTTTAGTAAATGAATAGTGGGATGCCTATTCCAGTTAAGTGTAAATGAACAGATGCCGCGACAAAGTTGAACTTTCGTGTCAAAGACAAATAACACTTGTTTGAATCTGTGATCTAGAATCTGACACCACGGTAGGTAAATGAAGTCTGCCACCCCCGGCTCATAGTTGAGGCCTGTCAAAACTTATCCCACACAAGCGAAATCTTAAGGAGAGGTCATCTCGCTGCGGTGGGGATCTTGATGTGACTCTCAAATCCAGCGTTCTGATTGGTTTTACTTGGGACATCTGATTGGCATAAATCACCTTATAAGGCAACAGTCTTTGACGATACAAATCTCGTTTTTTCCTGTCATGCTTCTCACAGTTTTGTTTTTTATTTTGCCTCTGCTGACGCAAGTTGCCTTCTGCGGCGTAGAGAAGGTGATTGAGTTGAATCCTCAGTCGCTGAGTAAGTTGGAGGACCTCTCAAAGACCACGAATGTTACACTGCTTGTCCTCTTCTACGCCCCATGGTGCTACTACAGCAAGAAGGTGCTGCCTGTTTACGACCAGGCTGCTGCGTTGCTACCCGCACGAAATCCACAGCTTTACCTGGTCAAAATCGACGCTTCGAAGTACAAAGCCGACTTGAAGAGTTACAAGATAGGGGGCTACCCTACAATCGTGTACTTGATCAATGGGACGCGACACAAGTACACAGGCGACCGATCTGTAGAAGACTTGTCCGATTTCGTCGAGAAAGTTAGACGGAAATGAAGACGACAACTGCAGGTGGAACTGAAAATTTCTTCTTTATGACTGTACAATTTCTCTATAAAACTAGCAAATAAACTGATAGCGTTCTGTTACACCACTTTATTGCTTGGAAAGTAATGGCCCGATTAAGTATGCACCTGAATTTGTAGTAGATATCACGTCTTGTAGTATAATAAGAAGAAGTTAGCGATGCCAGAGGTTAAGAAGAAATGTTGGTGAATTTGAACTAATGACTGGAACTATTTAATTAATTAGGGTTTATTTTCAGCGGTGTGAGGGAATTTCGCATTGCAGTTTCTCTCCACTTTTAAACAGGGCTTGAATCGAGTCGCTTCGTGCCTTCTGGATTCACAAGGCCACTCGGGTTCTGTACACGCGGTGCGTTTGACGTGTCACTTGGCCATTGGCTGAGACGTCTAAATGTCCTCCACGAGGTTGTGTCGTTGCACTTTCACAAAGAAGACAAAGGTGGCCCCTATTTGTTGGTGGCTGAAGTCTCAGCTTAGCCAAAACTGATGATATTAAAAGGTTATTGGTTGATCAACACTGGAAACAATTGCGGCGCCTAAGGTGTCACTTGAACATGATCAGGCTTAACAATAGCTGGTTTCATTTGTCCAATTCAACGCGTGTTGATGGAAGATTAACATACTTGTCAAAATATACCCTGATCTTGTGGACGTCAAATGCACAATCTCCTACGACGCGGTTATCCCTGAGTTTCGCGAAGCAGGCCTGTAACATTTGCCATGTTATTACTGTTTAACCTGTAGTAAATCGTGTTGATTCTAGGCTACTAAGCCTGATAGATCGCCTCATTTTGACAATGTCCCCGTCAAACATACCGAACCATCTGTCCATTCACTCCTGGGCATCACCACCCTCCTGCTCATTCCACCTCGTTGTTGGCCCATTGAGCCCAATTACGCTACCCCTCTACCCGCGATGGTGAAGAATACCAGAGAGGAAGTGGACAAATTCGTTTACTTGAGAGCTAAACTAAGCTGGTATCGGTGTGTCGCTTACGTGTGTGTATTTATGGCTCAGAAAAGTGTGAAGCAGTGTGAATCATAGATGTGCTAGCATCGAGACTTAGGTGAAGGTTAATCCAAGTTAAACATCCGCACTGATCCGGTGTTTGTTGAGGTAGAGTATTGCAGAATGGAGAGACCGGAGTAATGAACGTAAACCAATGCGATTCATAGAAACCTAAATTATCAGTCAATAACTTTAGTAATTAAACACGACAGCGCAGAGCCTGTGTCCCCGGCATGTCTGGACTTCCCGAGTACTTCAAGACCACAAACGAGCGCCTATCCGAATTTGCTCACAAGTGGGGCGGGCCACCCCCTATTTCCCCTTGTGTTCCTTAGCGGTCTCCGCATTCTCTAGCCCCACGCGCCATATACTGACACCCCTTTAGGTCAGCGTGGACATCCGATCTCCCCACTCCCACTAGACTACCACCAGGTTGCCGATATTCCTATTCCCGTGTCTTGTGACGAATGATTAACCACGATTACGTGGCAACAATCCTCCTTCTTGATCTGTGAAAAAAGCACATCAGTAAGCGCAATATTAAAGAATTTTTACTTTTTTTACGATAGCACGTACACAGTTACATAACATCCCCAGCTGCCGTTGTTGTTTTGAGTTAATCGACTTCAGTGTGTCGATAATAAGAAGAAAACGAAGCTTAGTGAGTTGGTAATATGCACAAAATGCCAGTGATCACGCCCGTTGGATTGACAATCGTTCGGCTGTAATGTGTTCCACAGCTCAATTACACAAATTTGACGTTTTGTATTCCGCGTGTGTTTAGTGCACTTTACGACGTAAGTGTTTTATCGTTTCGATTGATAGCAGGCTCGGGAACCTGTGCCAAATGCGAAATTTTATGCATATTTTTGCTGTAATTGGGTGTCATAAAATGGAGGCATTCTGGTCCAAAATAAAGATGCTCAAAGTCTGTATTTGTGATGATTAAATTGAGTTATGAGGTGAGAGACATTTAGTTGGTTGCTACCACTGCGTCCTCACTGAATCACCTGTAGGTTTTCTGATTTACAGTTCTCTCTTGGGGGGGCCTTTTTGAATTCTGATCACCCAGAGAGAGGAGTTATCCATGCCAGACGAGTTATTTTTTTGCTATAGGCTTTGTTCGCTTTGTGGCACACATTTAACCCCTCGCATGCACATCAACTTGCTGGAGGTGTCATCGCCTACCTTGCAACGCCGCGTGTGGCAATATCTGGAGTTACATAGAAAACAGCCGCTAAATCTTGAATTTTTTGGTTTAGTCGACAAGTGAAAGAGGTTTGCAAAGTGCGTTTAGGCAGCCCACCGTTGCTCGAAGTTAGAACACTGCAGATAAGAGGATTTCATTAATAAACAAAGACGTCAATTGAGTCCTTTGCCTGTCGTTTTTTCAAGGCAGTCGAGAATCTTGAGTTTCGAATAATATCTACTGGCGTTGAGGAGTGATAACTTACAAGTAAAGAAGAGAGTGGGATTGGACAATCAGTATTTTTGCATTTCTTCTGGTTTAACATGATTGCCTTAGCCATGTTACACCAAATGTAAAATCGCGCCTTTCGGCCGTCTTAATCATTCAGCTCAAGGTCACTGGTGATTCAAAAAACTATTCGCCCTGATTCGTAACTAGGGCCATAATTAAGATTGCAAAAACTCTCCGTAGGTACTCATTTCTGTTTTCTAGGCTGGAAGAGTTAGGCTTAACCTAGACAATGGACTTGAATATCACTTCTCAGGAAGTGTTGGGGATCCAGAATTCCCCAATATTGGTTTCTGATGCTATTTACATTAATTCACTAACATGTGTTTTGTTATACTTTTTATCAAGTCAAGGTCAAACCTGACTTGAATTAGTTTCGTTTTCGACACGTTACTCCACACGTGGCTGACGTGAATAAAGCTCTCTACAAGAGCTCTGGTCTTGTTCTTGTATTAGCGCGGGAAGGTCGGTTCTAGCTTCAGCAAGGGATCTGGTACCGTTATTTGAGTGGTCTTCTCTTTGTTACGGGCAAGCGTAACAAGATGTTTGTTGCACGATTGTGCCATAGTTTTTTTTAAATCAACGTTAACGGACTACTTAAGTTCTTGATGGACCGCAAAAATATCAACCTCTGAGGTTGGCGACGGACGCTAACCTAAAGCAAAGCAAGGCAGGCACACATGAGTTGTAGAAAAATCTAGCACTGATCAGGCTGCACAAGGCTGGAAAAGTCTGTGAAGAAGCCTTCTCACTTCTTCTGTTTTATTAGCACTGTCATACCTCTACAAAATCGACATTGCCAGGTTTTACAGCGTGTCAAATGGCAGAATTCAGGCGTTGTCTAAACACTGGGCTCAATATTTACTGTTTTAGCGCTCTGTCTGGGGGTTTTAATGACACTTTTTGTTATCACAAGATGTAGTCATTATACGTGTTTGCACTGAACTTGCTTTAGTCAGACTGTACGCAGTAGTCACATACAAATCGATTTCCTTCCAAACGGAGTTTAAGAAACCGTTCACAGCCTGAGCCTTACATTAAATATGGTAGCAAAAATTTACGCTAACGCGTCGCCACTATCTCATGCTTTAGTAACGCTGATTGTAGTGAATAGATGACACAAAAAAGGCGGACATTATCATTTATTCATGCATTGTATGTGTCCCTATAAATGGTGTGTGGCCGTGGGCGGAATTCGCAGATTAACCAATAATATTGCGGTAAAACTTGGATGAGAATGTAAATGCTTGTTGACGATGAAAGTACACTTCTGTAAGCTTACTCGTATAGGGCATGAAGGAGCTTAGATCAAGGTTTCAAGGAACTGTTCCAAGTGTGTCAAACGAGCAGTCAGGTAATTTGAAAGCGAATTTTCTTATTGTTGACAGATAGAGGAAAGGGTGTGTTACGTGACTGCCTACGTTTTAGTCAAGTTAACAAACTGTAAGTTTTGCTAGCGGATGGATTACATGCTGATTGAAAATATATTACCACCTGTGTTGTGGTTAGTCACTGCTACAGTGTGCAAGCTAGTTGGAACTGACGCCTTAACGCGACGCGTTTTTCCTGTTTAAAGTTGATTTTTTTAAAGAAACAATCTAGTTTTGATACCTGAACTTATTAAATAAATTTAGTGGGTTATCATGATAAATAAATAAGCTCAATTAAAGGTGTCAACACTTAATAAATTTTTATAGGTATTAGTAAGTTTAAGTAACAGTTTAGTCGCCTCTATTTGCTCCAGTATGATTTGTTTTGGTTTTAAATAGAATGTGAAAGCCTGGCAGATAAATTGACTCGCGTTCCCAGTAAAAATGTGCAGTTAATATAGCTTAACAGTTTTTGGACCCGGGAAATTGAGAACTGCTATGATCGCTTTCACCGCCATATTAGGAATAAAAATTTTTGTTTCTATGTTTCGTCAACAATTTGCATCTAACTGCTAAATAATAGTAGTGTAATAGTCGACTATGGTGATTATTTATGAATCTGTGTGAACACCGATAGTCATTTCTTAGTATCAGAAATTAGATTTCACTATTGATGTACCTCTCTAGATTGCTATTCCATGAGTTTAAAAAGATTTGTCAACTAATTAAAAAAGCAATTATTTAATTATGCATTTACCTAATCATTCTCCAGATTATTTCAAAGTATCGAAAAATTTCAAACAGAAGGAGAAATCTGTGTCAAATAACTTACTGATATAATACTGGAACATTTACTTGCCTCAGCGTTTTGTAATTCATTTTACGTTATTTTTGAGTCTACTCTGTATACCGTGCACTGTTAAAGCCTGCTTTCAATGTTTAAGCTTGCAACTGCAGGTTCCACTATGCCTGTCCAAGGTCAACAGGCTAACCTTTTTCAAGGTTGGATTGGTGTGGGACGCCCTCACTAAATTGCCACAATAATGTGTGACATCCAGGGTTAGTTTGGCACATTTAGGTTTTGTTTGAGTGTCCTTTCTGCAGACCTTTTCTGTGGTAATATAGGCAATGTTATGCTGCGGTTTTTGGGGCCATAGCCTGTTTATTTGTAATCAGTATAGATTGTAAATAAACGCATAGTCTTGATTTACGGCATTATTTCTCTACGGGCTTTTGTCTATTTCCTCTGAAAAGGCTCGAGAAAAGTAATCATTAATTTCTTCATCCAGTGTGTGAAGAACTTGTCTTAAATTTACTTGGTAACACTTTATTTCTCAATTAAGGATTCCTGTTGTTGGGATCCTATATTTCATTTATCAACGCATCGGATATGATCTAATCTAATGACTTGATATCATTTTACCTTTTACAGCCAAGCGCATCATCGGTGTGAACCAGTTTTTATCTGGTGATCGTTTCGGTGTCTTTGACATTTGACTGTGTCCAGCAAACTTATTTCTAGCTAGTATATTTTGCTCACAGGCGTTTTATTTTTTTTGAAATTGCTCATCTAGTTCCTGGCAACGTTGATGCGTTCCATCCAATTCAGCAATCGGCGTCGCAGTTTGTTTATAGCCCCCCGAATAAGTAATATGGCCATCCAAACACCTGAACTTTTCGATACCCATGAAGCTCACAGGAAAAAACAATGTAATTACAAAATGGTTTTGTGAAAACTCGAGGTATTCGATAAAATTGACGTCCATCTGGTAGTCGTGGGCATTCTGTCTGTTTATTTTGATGTTATAAATGGCTTCTCGCCGATGTAAAACGGGTTAAATAACGGGCTTTTAAAAGCTCGCGATATTCGATTAAATTGGCGTTCATCTAACACGGAAATTCCAGGGCTGGAATTTGGGATTATCAATAATTACTCTTTCCTTTTAAAGGTAGTCATTTTCACAAAACTTATCTACAATTGGAAAAAAAACACAAGCTCTGGCGTCTTAATTTCAGTCCTTGTGGCCAAAAATGACTTGATTTTGTCGAGAATAAATGTCCAAAATTATATCTACGACTTCCTAAGGCAATTCTCGCACTGTTTTAGGGCTTCCCGGGACAAAAATGTCTCCCACCCACCTGATCTGCGAGAATATCATCCCCCTTGGTTCTCTGCCTGTTGTGTCGTCATGTGACATGACCGAGATCCACGCCACTGTGAAGAAGATGGTGGAACAGCGCAAGGCTAATGGCAAGGAGTCCGATTCTTTAAGCCAAAGCTTCTCCTGTTTCGCATTTCCTCTTAGTGATGAAACCACCGATTTCAGGTTTGTTGTAATTAAGTAGTAAATCTTTTCTTAATTCGATTTGGTCTTCGGATGGCGCTCTCTTCTAGGTGTACACTTCTGCAAGTGATTGTTTTCTATAGTCCAGCAAAATTGGTTTCCGTTCCTGGAATCTACAGTTTTGCCTTTTATAATTGCAGCTAGGTGCTCAAGTGTTTAAGTCCATCGAGTTTTCCTGCCTGTTTCAGCGTTCTAGACCAAAGAACCGGCCAGGTGGTGCAAACCTTTAATTACCGAAATATTTACTACTACGCAAGTGTGAACTTAAAGAAAGGCCACTCTTTTGTTGTCTTCACTCATCTCCCTCCAAAACCTGGTCCATCCACGCCACCAGCCTCCACCAAATCCGGCTACGATTGCTTCGTCTATCACTGCCCGTCGTCATTTGAGGTTGGTTCGCATTCTCTAGATTAGCCATCCGACCTTTGAGTACCCCTAGATGGCATTAAATTCCCTGATTCTCGTTTTATGTGATCTTCGGCACTCTAGTTTCTGTGCGAGGTCGTCTCTGACCTAGGGCTGATTAGTTCACAGAAATTCCATGAGGTGAATGAGCGAGAGAGACTCCTTGCATCTGCGGCATTGTACTCTTTGATTGCAAGTTTGCAGCTAAAGTTTTCGCACACTGACCCTAACACCCTAGTTTACAAACATACAAACCCTAGCACTGTCACATGTTCAAGGTGTATAAATTACACCACTTGACACGACGCATTCTATTGGACAGAGGCGGAGAGTGTGGATTTGATTGGCTGGTCAACGCTCAACTTCTGGTCAATGCAAACCCACAAATAACAATGTTGCCAGATGTTCATTGTGTTAATATTGCATCACTTGCAGCAACGCTTTCTATTGGACAGAGTCGAGGGGTTTGAATTTGATTGGCTAGCCAATGCCTAATTCTCTCAGTCAAGGTTTTCCGTTGTAGCATGGGAATCATTTCCATTTAATTAAGGAAAACTCACGCTTCAAATGGTTCACGTAAAGGAATTGTGGATTGAAGTTTCCCGTAAAACATTGCTAATTGTGGACTCAAACTTGGTGGCAATCGATTTCGCGTTTGGCCGCTGTTCTGCCTCGTGCCAATGCAATTGTGTTAATGTGGCTCATTCTCCCACAGATTTTAATTACTTCTGCATGCTTGTTGTTAATTAAACAGTCTACACAAACGTGCTTATTCGCACGCTACGTAGAAACACGTCTTTTGTACACGTCACAATCCTGTGTTGCTGTCTCTCATTCTCCGCTGCTAAAAATGCAATCCGTTTTCCACCACAACACACAGCAGCTTCGCCAACCAAATTTGCGAATTCCTAGTCACCTAGATGCCCTATCAGGTTGTCGCCACTGCATTACAAATTCCCAGTGTTCATGTCCCGTGGGCCGACGATTTTGACCTGCTTCGGCTCATTCTAACGAGACTAGGTGGGATTTAGTGAATGCTCGGACTTGACATTAAGTTGACTTGCAAACTTCACAAAATATTTGAAATCACCACTTCGTGTTACTTCTCTCTCTCGGTGGCATTGCCTAGGTCTCCCGGATAACCAAGTGTCTCTTCCAAATTTCTCAACGCACCGCCGACGCCAAGTACCCGCCCGCGCTGTCGTCGATTCCACACTGGAAGGCTCCCGTCGACTCCCCAAACGCGCCAGCTCAGTACGCCGCGAGGTACGTCGTCTGTCACCTCGCTGTGCTCATTTTGAAGTACGAGGTGGTGCCTCTGACGACACAACCACCGTGACAACACACAAAACCGTAAATCACACGCGGGTTTTCGTGTGCGTTGATGACGCGTCGCACGCGTTGATTGTCCAGACAAACATCGGTTTTAAGTACACATTGTAAACATGTGACTAGTAGTAATACTAATGATAGTGTGTTCTAATGCGTCGCGCCCAGTGTCTTGTTGACAAGGGTGACTCTAATGTTGCAAATCGCGCACTTGTCGTCGATTTTTCACATTTTGTGCTCTGGTGACGATGTACTGCTGTGCATGTGATGGCCCCTTAAAACAGACAATTCACACAAATACGTAACAAGCCGATCCGATGAATGCACGGCCCTGCCCTGATTGGCTGTCGGCTGCCTATTCCACTTTTTTTTTCTAAGCCTGCGGCTTCACATTGACATTCGTGAAGACGACTCGAAGTCTTCGCTGGGAAGCATCGCGGTGCCGAAGGAGAAGCCCAACCTCTTCAAATTCCGCGCGAATCTCGAAAAAACCCTCGTGATCGGAGTGAGTCGGCAAGGCGATTGTTCGGACGCCCCGCACTTGGGCGTTGTCAGGTAAGCATTGTCCAAAATTGTCAGAGATAACCCTCCGTTCACGACCCCAACGTGCCCTCAACCAGACCTTTATAGGCACTAATTACACATCTATTGTAATTACATAAGTAGAGTGTGTTATTGTTTGAATGACCACATCTCACGTATCATGAGGTAAGAAAGCAATCTTTCTCAATTTAGCTGCCTGGAAATCGGCCTGGCATTCGGGCGCTACGTCAGTGACGGCGATGTGACCACGTTGGTGACGAATCCAGCGAAACTGTCGACAGACGACGCCAACAACCTCATCCCCGGCGCCTCGTTCGTCGTGAAAACCGCCTGGTCGCCTAAAGAGCCGCAGTTTGAACTCCTCAACACCGTCACTGATCGAGGCAAGTCGCTCACCTCCTGCACACCATCGTGTCTAAGTTTATTTTGGCCAAT